GCCCAGTACTCGACCGCAACGGCCGCCTCAGCGTATGCAAAGGCTTCATCCGCCCAAGCATGGAATATGCTCCCCTAGTCTGGCAAGGCGCAGCCCGGTCCTGGCGGTCCAACCTCGCGAAGCTTGACCGCATCCAGCAACAGTGCATGCGCAGCATTGGCGCTGGGACCATGCTTCCAAGCTTATCAGTGCATCGGGAAGTCTCAGGACTGTGCTACCTGTTCAAGCTGCACCACATTTCCGGTCCGGCCCCGCTGACAGACATGCTGCCACCTGCTGCCCCTGAGCCCGCCCACCCCAGACCACCCCAGAACCCGCCACCAACATCAAGTGAAACACTCCCATGCCTTCCAGCTGTCAAAACCCTGGCACCGCAACAAGTCCTGCATGACATCCTACATAGATCCTTCCCGTTCGGCCTACTAACAACATGGAATGCTCTACCCTCTGCCATCCTGAACGCTCGCCCATCCAAGGCAGCGCTGCAACGCTTCAAAGTAGCAGTGTACAAGTACCTCCTCGAGCAAACTTGTGGGACTGCTGTCGACGTGTACATCACAGACTAGCATACTACCTGATCAGTGATGGCCGAACTCTTTCTTCTTTCTTTCTTTTCTAATGGGGTATTCACACGACAGGCATTTGCACGTTTTCCAGTACACTACTTTTACAGGGAGTGACATACGAGAAAAGTGACTGTGTGGATTCACACAGCTGCACTCGACGACAGGCACGTTTGCATTTTTGAATGCTTCACCGACCAGTAGCCATGGGTATTTCAAATTTTCAAAACACCAAGAGTGCATAAACAGTTTGTTTATGGACTCTTGATAAATGTTTATGGACTCTTGAAAACACACATACGATATTTTATCATGCTCTAAAGAGCCGCGTAAAAAATCAAGTCTTGTTTCGCGCTTTTTGGTGTAAATGTACTCGTGCACGCCACGATTATCGTGAAAGTGGGCCCCAGCTCGCTTTCACTTTTCAGCCACTTTCAAGCACTTTTCTCGTTCACAGGTAAAATACCATAGCAACTTTCCGGTGCACGTGGATTTGCCTGTTGTGTGAATACATGTACCCCATAACCCCCCCTGGTGCGCAGTGTGTGCAAGGATACCGAGACCTCTGGTCGGAGGAGTCCACAATGCCCCACCTACACAGCTGCGCTAGTGGATACTAGTAGTCAGCCCCGACTCAATAGTTGTTTGTTCTGTCAACCCACAACTTCTGTGTTCTAGTTAGCCATTGGCGGACTATGCTCGGCCAATCGTTAAATTATGCTTTTGATCATGCCACAATTATGCCAACAAATATGCTGAAATATGCTCGGTTCCACTATGTATTCACGCTGTACATAGAGGATTGAGAAACCACGCATACACACACGGCCATGCCCTAAGCATAATTTTTGTCTAAACCGAAAGATTATGCGGACCTTACACGTTGGAATCCATAATATTATGCCGGAGCATAATTTTTTGGCGAAATCCCAAGATTATGCCAAATATTATGCCCGTATAATCCGCCAAGGGCTATGACAAGGTCAAGGAGTCGTAACTGGGGTATTCAAAAAAAACCATCTGCACTCGATTCTGCCGGTTTTCTGACAAAGCTGTATTTATATGCCCTAAGCATAATTTTTGTCTAAACCGAAAGATTATGCCGACCTTACACGTTGGGATCCGTATATTATGCCGGAGCATAATTTCTTGACGAAATCCCAAGATTATGCCAAATATTATGCCGGCATAATCCGCCAAGGGCTAGTTCTAGTTGTTTCTTCGTTCTCCCTGCATGCAACTTTGTTATCTTTCTTGTTCTTATTTTTTTGTCTCGAGCCGGGTTTGTGTTCTTTGTAGAAAAAAATGGCGATAGCATGAGGAAGGGCAATGACGAATGCATGCAGCTAGCGTCTTGCAATAAGTCGGCATGCATCTACCCGATCATCGGATGTTTGTCGCCTACCGGCGCCACCCCCACCCCCTGTTGGGTTCCTGACTCTGGGGTTTAGACATGCCCTGAGGCACTGTGATGCGTTTTGATGTCGTGCAGTATTCGAATCCAGAGAATCAATAGCTGTGTAAGAATACATATACATGTACATGTACATGCATGTACACTTCACTGAATTGTAGGTTGGGAATAGGCCTTGACGGATTATGCTAATATTTTCGTTAAATTATGCTTTTCGCATTGCTGAAAAAATTCCCGAATTATGCTATTTTTATGCTAAAAGTTATCATATTATGCCGCATTATGCTCACATATGCTGCTAATTTTGTACATGATGGTTCCGTGCAAGATAAGGCCATGGTAAAAAATAAAGTTGATTCTCAGGTCATGAGCCTGTGAAAATCGGTGCGAGCGAGCGATTTTTTATTTTAATTCCCACAATTTTTTTATTTCCAAAGATAGGGTCACACATGTGTACGTCACAGGTTCATAATTAATTTATAATTATTTTATTATTCAGGCCAGGGAGTAGAAAAATACCGGTATTTTACTACTCCCGGATTCATGCCTTTCGCATTGACCGTTTTCATGCACGCATATGCATGCATAGAAATAAAAAAAATCGTCGGTGCGCCGCCAAAAATCGATGCGCGCGTACTTGAGAATCAAAGGTATTTTTTACCATGGCCTAACAGGGGAATTTTTTGTAGAGGGCGTTGTACTGCAGTAGCAAAAGTTCAACGGGGTCAACGCACCGAACGTCACTGATTGTAGTTGACTGGACATATTATCAAGGGAGTCGTAAACCTCCGACTTCCTGGTGCATCTACTTGTACTTGTACTTGTAGAACATGTACAACTGTATGGAATTTGATGCGAAAAGGCGGATTATTCCAATTTATGCGATTCGGATGCAATTAGCCTCGAATTATGCGATTATTCGATTTTGGTAGGAATTATGCGAAAAAGTATGCTAGCATAATCCGTCAAGGCCTAGTTGAGAATGTGCTAGGCATTGGCGGGTAATGCTCGAAAAGGTGGCAAATTCTGCTCGAAAAGCAGTGAAATTGGCAGAACCATACAAACCGTATGGTGGGCAATTCCTCGAATTCTGCTCCATTTCTTTATCCACATACCAATTGGCAAATATGCATGAAACTTACCAGAAAAAGTACCGAATTCTGCCAATTTGTCTGCCGGCATTATCCGCATATGCCTGGAATGTGCTCCAAGAGGCGTGTTGTATCCCTACAAGTTCAACACTTGTGATTTAGGTGACTTCCGTAAGACATTGCAGTACCGGTAATTCACTCCGCAAGCATTAGTCTCTCTTCTTATCAACGGACAACGTGCATTTTAAACTCATCCACGATTGCCCTTGGCGGATAATTCCGGCAGAAATATTCGCAGAAATTTGGCACTTGTTCTGGCACATGTACATGTACATGTATGCTGCAAATTCATGCATTTAAATAAAAAAGTATAATATTGTGTCCGTTCCCGAAGGGAACTCACGACGGCCACTAACACCCGGTAAACCCTAGTGGCAGATGCAGAGCCTAACGGTGGGGGTGAGGGGATAAGTCTCACAACCACTGGCGCAAGAGCCGAGAAACCCCATTGGCATTAGCCGCATCCATGTACCCCTTTGGCTTTGTGCCTGGCCAGTGGCCACAAGTTCCCAGCTGACTGTGGGTAGCAGCACGGCTGGAAAAGCCGCTCCCAGGCAGGACTTGAACCAGGTACCTCTTGCATCTCAATCATGGTCTTTGACCAACCCACTGTGCCTGCTTGCATCTTTGGAGTAGAATTCAAGGAGGTTCCTGCCATAAGGGTTGTATGGTTTTGCCAATTTCACTGCTTTTCGAACAGAATCTGCCAAATGTTCCAGCATTATCGCTATTAAAGGCTAAGGGCTAATTCACAATCGTGGCGCGCTTCCTCACCGATGGGTAGTCACAATTCACACATTGTGTTTTTGAAGTACAGCCCACCCTTTCAAGAACGCGTCATAATTACTAGTAAGTAGAATCACCAGTCGAGGATGCTGTAGTCCTGGAGGAAGCCCAATCACGTGTGGCGCATTCCGAGCATTCAAAACACCGCATGGCAGAAATTCGTTTTTGCTGCCTGGGCTATTATAATAATTATTATTGATCAAAACTCCGATCTCACGTCGATATCATTGGCAAATTTTACGCCCCGGAGCTTGCGATGACAGCAAAATACATGTGAACGCAGTTTCGAAGCTGATACCGCAAGTGATATTGGCTATCTCGGCTTTCGCCGATATCATGTCAGTGTATGCGGTTAGACGGATTAGAACTAATTACTTGTAAAATGAAAACGTCGAAAGAGATCCACGTGACGAACTAAACCGGACGATCACGACGTTGGTGCCTGGTGGTGGTCACAACGCAGGATAGGCGTTGCTGCTGAATCACGCCTGGATGGTCTCAGCTGTGTAGATCCACTCGAGTGCGACCGTGGCGTGTGAACTGTTGTGTTGATGTGTCTCAAGCGAAGGAGCTACTCGAACGACACTTGGCGCCTCACTTGGCAAGCTTGTACGAGAGGAGTCTAATATTACGCCGCGAGCAAGGCAGATATGTCGACAGCAAATCATTGATGAAGGTTGGGCTGTGGACGACGGGCCCGCGGGCGGCGACGGAAGACGCATATGGCAAGCGACGTTTCGATTCTTCCTTTCGTCTCCCCAACCGTGGGCCATGGTCGGCTGCAGGTGGTGGGTGGACGATTTCTACTCCCCGCCATGCCAGGGATTGATCAAAGCTGTCCTTGAATGTTCGCTGCCATAACTGTTCGCTTTGTGTATGCATCATGGCGCGTGCACGCCTTCTTTGAATAGTTTCTCAAGTGCCTGAAAGTGCTCTGGCAATTTCGGAATATCGCCACTGGGTGGCGCATGGCGGGTGCCCCGACTTCATGCGAAATACCCATGTCCGTGCTATCTCCGTCAGGCAGCTGCCTCCGTCAAACAATCGTGGTGCTCTACCCAGTTCAATGCTTGGGTAGTATTTCTATAGCTGCAGAATGATAGGACTGAGTGGATTGAAATTGATTTGAAGTGCGCCGTCGAGTGTGTGTTTGTCGCTAGGAGTAGTGAACTACCGTCTCTGTCCAAGTGATCATGCGGTGGCCAACAGCCAACACTTTCTCCAGTCACGCTCTATCGTTGCAAGCTCAGTGATGGTCGCATTGGCTAGCTGCTATTTGCTGGCTTGAACTTTGAAGAAGCATCAGTACCTCTCCTGCGCACTGGGCAGTGCGGCTGTGCGTGAGTTCAGCTTTCGCAGGTGTAAGCCAACGCGGTACCACACTGCAGTTCTGTCGGCTCTTGTGGAGCACCACAGCAGAATAGTTTCCGTCGTGGACCGTTTGCAAAACTTGCACCAGAGAAGGCATCGTTATGCCTAGCACTGCACGAATTTGATGAGAAGGTGACCGATTATTGTACTGGTGGCGAGATCTGCGTCGAGAAGAAGCACAATCTTGAGGCGCAGTTACGAGAAAACAACTCCCTTCCTGCCTTCATCTTCGTGGAAATTGCGGTTCTTCCGGTCGAAGGAGTGGCACTGCGATCAGTGGTGTTGTAGCGGCAGCAGGTTTTGCGGAGTGCAGCAGATTGATTACTGGACGGGGATTCGCACTACACCGGAATCCCGTCGGCTGTGACGCCGGCAGCTGTCCAGCAAGGGGTGACGGAGGATGAACTCCCTGTGGATCATCGTAATCAGCACGGCGGCGACGTGCGTGCAATGCGCACCAGGTGAGAGATGTGGGCAGTTGTTTTCGGAGCGCCTTCGCGCTCTTGCGTAGTCTTTGTAAACGACGCAAGAGGAAAATCAAAATAATTAATTACCTGCCTTTATTTCGATCCCCTCGTGATAATGTTATTGTTTGTTGTATTCATGCGTACGCGCGTGTTAGTGTACGTGTGGAACGCACTCATACTCAGTCTCTGGAACTGGCGAGGTTCCGTTTCTGTAAGCGTCTCATTGTGACAGAGTCCTGCCGGGCCATGCACCCAAGGGTACTGCACGCGCTTATTGCCTTGGCTGTTTCTTCCCGATTGGTCCCTGGAGGGGTTGTCCTAGATCGCTGCTTGAAGATTTACACGAAGTCTTTTTAGAATGTCTATGCGTTGCTCTACACACATTGTCACACATCTACAAATAATAATGGTAGTTTCACACTGTTCAAGAAATGTATAAAATCCACCAGCTCAGTGTCAACCACCACTTTCCTTCACTAGAACTATGGCGCACCAAAGAAGTCGTATGAGGAGAATCGGTCAAAGAGGTAACAGTTGATGATGTTGATGAAAGTTCGATATCATGACACTGTAGAAAGTAACTCCAATAACTGGCTGTGCACAACCGGCCTTACTTGGAAGTGCCACTGAAAATTATTTGGCAGATGCAGTGTGGTAAGGTTTGCAATTGGCGGAGCAGTAATCATGTGGATTGGACGCCTGTGTCTTGCCCCCACAAACTGGGCGTATGACCTTGATTTGAGGGTGATGCTTCGTGCCGGACTATCATCTCCAGATAAAATTCCATTACCACAATCATAGTTCTCATCACAGTGGACTTGCTGGACATCCCAGTGATAATTCCAGTGGTGTAGCACTACATGTAGTGGTTGAGCTAGTTAGTATTCCTATACTAGTGGCAGTACTGGTGGCTGTTGTGGAGTGGTGTACTACAGTTGTAGTGGTGTACTCTTCTTGTAGTTAGTTCGCTAATGAGCTGCGAGCATTGATGGGATCGGTCTAATCTGGTGCCACACCATGCGGCGTGATGATGTGCACGAGGCCCTACCATGTAGTATGATGTGCCACAGACCTAACCCTGGATAATGTTGATTTGGCAGTGTGCCATTCCATGGGCATCAAGGCAGCAGCAATACGCACAGTGCAGTGCCGGTATCACAGCACTCACTTCTAGTTCTATGCATGAGTTGGCAGCTCCCAATTTGAACTGGCTTAGACCCCAAGTTAGTAGAGTGCAGGATTGCCCATGAATTATCTGCTTAGTCACTACAGTGTATGTACATCTGTAATAGCCTGTTAGCAGGGAAACTGCCTCCACATCAATCCATGCCTGCATGTGGTGAGCCTACAGTCTTGGTAGGACCCACATTGCCATGTCGCGTAAATGTCATGTAGCTGATGAGGCAGTCTCCCCCATCTGGGAAAGGTTGACATCTGTCTCTTCAGTCGTTAGGACCTCCAAGAGTCTAAACTCAGTTAACCGTGTGCTGATGAGCGTGAGCAACATTCCAGATTTTGTGAATAGGGCTAGTACATGTCTGGTACGTTAAGCTTCTAATACCAGATACCTGACATGTCTGAGCAGCTAAATTATCCTGTTTACCCAGCAAGAAGTAGAGTCAAGGAAAATCTAGCATTTTCATGGACGGACTTATACGGAAAATTGGAGTGATTGGTGTTGATGTGATCTCCTTGAAAACTCCTGTGTCTGTCCTTTTGCCCTCCACTGCCACAAAGTGATTTGCGAATGAGCAGTGTGCCTTGCGGTGGTGGTGCGGTTCTAGCTCTTGCTAGCCTAGAGTCAACCACAGAGTGACTCTGCCACTCGGCCCGTAACACTGTTAATGTTATGTCAGTGATTTGTGTAGTGGCTGGGTGTACAGTGTTCATTTTCAAAGGTTAAACTAAAGTACGTTACATAGCTATAACTCTGCATGTGCATGAACACTTGTCCGGTGTTCCTGAAGACAGTGGTGAGTTAGTGCTCCGATCCTGGCATGGGGGTAACCCCTGCTGTGAGCCGTCCACAGGAATGTCACGCACAACTACAGATACCAACATAGACAGACCGACATAGACTGGTGGTAACACACATGCACACACCACACACTGACATACACACAGGAACACACACCAGGAACACACACATAAACACATACGACACCCGCAAGCAATTGAGCAGTTACTAGGTTGGTAGCAATGATAGCCATAGAAAAAATCCTCATCTCCCTTACCGGAACAAAATTATGGGTTGAGGAACAAGAGAAAACTGGGATGTAATTACATGTACATCCTCTTTTTCCAGTTGTATTCCACTCTTCCTGTCTAAGGAACCTTCCTAACAGAACCTCACTAGTGTGGAATAGATTGTATAATTATGGCCATGAAGGTATTCTTTAGTTGTTTAGTACACTGAACTCCCGGATTCAAACCCATTTAATCTCCAGGAAAGAACTCTGAGCAAACAACTGTAAGAGTGCAATGATCTTGTCCATGGTGAACGGGCATGGTGTAAGTCTCCCGTAACAGTCAGGGGCGTGCTCGGCGAGGGGCACAGGGGGCAAGTGCACCCCCCAAAATATTTCGACCGGAGTTTTGAAAAGTCACCAATGTATTGCGGAAAGCCCGACCTCGCGGGAGCACATCCACAGATGAGGTGCTGAAGCTGTTCTTTCGACGCTCTCCTCGCCGAATCCTGTCCAGATACGTCAACTAGTGTGATGATTGTTCTTAGCTATATCCGTGCAATGTGTGTTTGTATCGGCCTGCCTGGTACAGTGCTGTCGACGGATTGGTTTTTAAAGATTTGTAAAGTTTTCATCCTTTATTTTGAAAAAATTGATATGACGCTGTACTGTGTTCATTCTTGATGACATACATGTACAATCTTTGTATGATGTCACCGGTACAACCTTTTGAAAATTGCTGTTGTCTGGAAGTGGTGCACCCCCCTGGAAGGGGAGCCGAGCACGCCCCATAACAGCCCTACAGTATACATTCAACACATTCAACTGATTTGAAGTGTGTTTGTATTTGCATGTGCCTCTTGTACACAGCTGAACCATGCGCTTCGGAAACAGACTTCACTTGCACGGCCAGCCGTGCCTGTGTTCCGCGATCATGGCGATGTGATGGTGAACCCGACTGCACTGATGCATCAGACGAAGTTGGATGCCGTAAGTCAACAAAGCACTATCTTTTGCCCTATTTCACTGGAGTATCAGCTGCACCGGAGTAAAAGCCACATCCGAGTATAGGCCTCATCTGCATTTTTTTTGTTTTTGTTCGAAATACAGACATTTGACCATTTTAGTATAACCACACTTGTGATAACTGCATTTAAAGCCCTGTACCAGAGTGGGTGCATTGACTCGAAACAAGCCAAGTAAACTGCGGCACTGCTTTTAGGCGTGTGTGGATTGCTTGTGAGAGTGCCTTTGTACCTGTGTATGTGTGTGAACAATTGCAGAGGATGTATCGTGCGAGGACCACCAGTTCATGTGCAGCAACGGCCATTGCATACCAGAGGCGTGGGAATGTGACACCGATGTCGACTGCACGGACGGCAGTGATGAGGTCGGCTGTGGTAAGCCACCTAGACTCGCAACTTAAAAATTACAATCACTGTTGCCTGATTTTTTGGTATTGTATTGTATTGAATTTATTTTACTTTGGTGGCTCAATAGTACAATGTACTAAAAAGAGGCCCGAAAAATCGATCATAAGGAGATAAAAGGAAACAGAAGGAGCAAACCAAAAACTAGATGAAGCGAAAAAACAACAACAAAAGAAACAGAAAATAATTTATATAAGCTGTGTACCGTCACATATCAAAAACCCTGTTTGAGTAAAGAAGGTCATGGCTGATGATCGCTTAGTGCGTGAAGCTCGGAGTAGCAGCACTCTTTCATCCTCTTGTTCTTGGTGTCACTATCACCTGTAGATGAATAATGGCTGGATAAAAAGTTGTTTCATAATGCAGTGTGTGCTTGTCTGAATCAATTGTATCTCGGATGACCACCTTCGAACCAGAATCTCGGGATGAAGAGAAAACTCCACAAGTGCTGAATTTGAGAAATTGAGGCTTTGAGATCAGTGCTTTGGAAAGGTCTAGGGGTGCGTTCAGGCTAAATGCCATTTCCGACTAGAAGCCAATTCAAAGCTGGTACCCAGATACGTATCTAGATACAAATCACACATTCAAGGAATCCCTTCTGGCCACAAGGCGAAAAGTGAGACAAATATGTCGCGTCCGCATCTAAAGTCTTCACATTAAAATAATAATGTGAAGACTTTAGATTCAAATATCATTTGAATAACTGACCAGGTTGGAGGTGCATATAGTTAGCCATCGTAAGCCTGGAGGTTGTCACATGTTGGTTATTTTACAGAGTTATTATTGCTACTCACATTACGGGTGTTTGCACCCGTATCTGCCCAGACAAGGAATGCATCTCTGTTCATTACGGGTGTTTGCACCCGTATCTACCCAGACAAGGAATGCAATTCTGTTTTTTCTACTTTCCTTGGATATGTGATTGTGAGTTTCTGGGACTTCACATTTCTCCTAGGCTTCCCGTCTGCCCCTTCACTTTGTCCGATCATCCATTCACCCATGCCTCTATCTGTCCATGTGTGTGTGTGTGTGTGTGTGTGTGTGTGTGTGTGTGTGTGTGTGTGTGTGTGTGTGTGTGTGTGTGTATACGTGTGTGTGTGTGTGTGTGTGTGTGTGTGTGTGTGTTGTACTGTGCAGCCGCGCCAACTTGCAACCCTCTACATCAGTACACATGCAATGACGGCACATGTATACATTCGTCATGGCGATGCGATGGAGACATCGACTGCTTAAGTGCGGAGGATGAAGATTGCGGGAGTAAGGAACAATTCACAAAGCTATATGTATAGCGTCTGCGATGATGTTTTTCAGTCATTGTGACGTTTACTTCAGCAAGGCTCTTTGTCACAGAGTGAAACTTCTCTTTGCTTGGATCTACACTAGGCACAACGTGTGCAATGTTAACTCATATCCTACTCGAGACATTTTTCTATAGACTTTTCCCGTTTGCAGCTTTCCCTCAAACCAATGAATGTTCAACATACCTTTATTTTTCTCTCCTTCCAGCAAATGTGTCGTGTTCGGCTGGTGAGTCACGCTGTGCCGACGGTCGTGAGTGCATAAACCAGCACTGGGTGTGCGACGGTGAGGCAGATTGTCGCGATGGCTCAGACGAGGCTGGATGCCCGGCGACGCCCTGTCGTAGTTTTGAGTGGCAGTGCAACAACAGCAAGTGCATCCCAAGCTCGTACGTGTGCGACTTGGACAACGACTGCGGCGACAACTCCGACGAACACTGTCGTAAGTGTTTGCCGCCTATATTTGATTATAGCTTGCATCGACCCCGGTCCCACCAGCAGGGCCTACTGGTAGGACCACCATACACACACATGCTGCACGGCCTCTGTACTAACACTCACCTAAAAACCAGACCCTAAACTGTTGCTAAGGGGCAAATGAAGGAGTCTGTGATAAATGTTTTCCACCTACACTAAACACCCAGAGTGTGTTTACTCTAAGTTTCCACACAGGTTTTTTAACCCACAAAATTTCCCAAAGTTTCTAGCTTATTATAAATTTCTAGCACAGAGATCCATTTAAGGGGCCGTCCGTAAATATCGATATTTTTTTCAAGACGCTATTTGTTCATTTCTCCCCAGACCCCCTCCATCCCCCCTCAAAACGAACATACACATGTTTATGAAAAGGATCGATATTTTTTAATGAAGTTCAATTTCCTCATGAAACGTGACCAGCTGCAACTCTAACTTCACCATACACCTAGGTTTATGTTGCCACGGTCGCACAACCTTGCCATGGCTATGCTCACGAGGTTGACTTTCACTTTGTGTAGGTCATAAACTACATGTTCGAACAGTGCCCGTCCATAGATGAGTTCGAAATTTTTTTCTCAACGACGAGACGAACAGGGCCCAAACCCCCTCCCCCCCCCCCCAAACGAACGAATATCTTCTCTAAAAAAACATCGATATTTGTGGACGACCCCTTACCGTATTATTCTACATTGATGAGTCCGGCTTGTATATGCGACATAAATGGCGTAATATTGAACATAGCCGGAGCTGGTTTGATCTGTGGTTATCACTGCACAGCCTCTCCAGAGCCTGGTAAATGCCGCAGCACTGAATTCAGCTGCAGTAACGGCGGCTGTATCCGCAAGACGTGGCAGTGCGACGGCGACAACGACTGCGGCGACCTGTCCGATGAGAAGAACTGTCCTGGTATGTGGAGTACCTATAGCTTGTATTACTGGAATTGCTAATGACAGCCGTGTTTGCTTACGTGTCTCATGAGAAGAACGTTTCTGGTAGGTGAACTAACTATCGCTATTACTACTGGAACTGACAATACCAGACATTTTTTCCAGTAGTGCTTCATTACGTGTGTGCATGGACACACACATGTAGACCACATTGATACCGTCACTTTCTTACTGAAGGAATAAGTTTTCATTGCCGTTTCGTCTTACACCGGTAGATGGCGTTCTAGTGCGGCAACTTCCACAGGGCAAATGACTGGTACGTGCAATAGTACACCTGGGGAGTGATTGATTGGTTCCGGATTCAAATACAGTCAACTTCGCTAATAACGACTGCGGATATAACGACAATTCGCGAATAACGACAGATTTCCCATGCCCAGAGCAAAGTCCCATCCCACTTTAATACATATAATGAGACTTCGGGTATAACGACACTTCGCGAATAAGGACACCTTTTTGATGCCCCGCCGAGTGTCGTTATACGCGAAGTTGACTGTATTATTAGATTCACTGGACCCGCCAAAGCAGCAGGTCCCAGTGAAACAGAAAAACGAATGTTGCTTTTGTCACAAATAGTGCAAATATCGCCACGCCACAGTTTTCATAGGTTTTTTTCAACTTGCTGTGGCTGCTCTGGCTTCGGGGTCAAAGTGTTCCGAGAAGACTCCTTGAATGTGCCAGAGCTGATGCAGACCAGTAAACACCCTATGCTGAGCGATCCTGTTCTGGATCCGACCAACCAAATGCACCCTTGTTAATTCAATAACTCTGCTCGGCCATGCAACAGTGCCTGTAAACAGATATTGCATTTGCTTTCCATTGTTCCATCATCTCCAGACTTTGAGTGCATCGCTCCCCAGGTCAAGTGCAGAACGGAGAACCGCTGCTATTCGTCCCACATGGCATGTGACGGTGTCAACCATTGTTTTGACGCAAGCGACGAGGAAAACTGCCGTAAGTTCTGTCGGTCAGGTCATTTTGATTGGCTTACACGTTAACGTGAGCAACTGAAGAATCGAATCCCTGGTTGTCTCACCGTTTTGCACAACTGCACGAAGTAAACTGAGTGATAACATCAATTGTATTATGTTGTTTGTTCACATAGGTCATAGCAATGAAGGTTGAGATGATGTCAAAACTCGGCATTTCATGCCGGAACCACAACCATCAGTTATCACAAAACTCCATGAGACTCTGACTTGTGATGTCATCTCAAACTGAAACGACCTATGTGTAACAGCTCTGCCTTCGGTATTCACCACTTTGGCCTGCTTAAGGTGTTCACTGTGTGGTATTGTTGATGCATAACTCTGTTGTCTGCGGGCACAGCATCAGCACAGCCACCGAATATCTGCGGACATGACTACCACTGCGGCGATGCCACCTGTGTGAACCACACGCAGATATGCGACGGCAAGCGGGACTGCCCGGACGGCAAAGACGAGGAGCTCTGCTGTAAGTTCCCGCTCTGGGATTTCCTCTATCCCATTGGTTCAACACAAACCATTGAACAGCTCTGATTTCCATGGTGCATTCCTGATGAGAAATGAGCAGAACATTGCCTAGGTTGGATACAGTCAGACCTCGCTTAACACACAAACTGTATGATGCATGACATATGCTGTAAATCGGTAACCAATGATTTCCTTCCGGATGGTGAGGGATCCGGATAAGCGAGGTCAGACTGTAGTACGACTATGTTAAATAGTCTGAATGGGATGTTAGCCTTTACTCCTTGAGGGTGGTGGTGTTCCTACGGACGCGGAAAGATAATTCTAACTGAGTGTAACACAAACAAGAATTGTTTTTGCCTTTATGGCTCCCCGAAGATCATCCTATCTGCTTCTTTGGGACTCCTGATCGTTTTTATTCATATGCAATGCGCACTAAAGTGGGGCTGGCTGGTGGTCCTGGAAGTGTAAAGCTACCAACTGAAACAGACAAGTCTCACATTATTATCTCTAACACACAAAGGGCACAACGGAGGTTGTAGAGTTTGTCGCAACGCCAAGTTTCTTGCTTAACGCAACCGTCACGTGACATGACCTCTAACATGTGGCTTCTTATATTCTATGCACATGCATGCACAGCTTCGAATCCTGTGGACGAGTGCCGTACGAACACGCACCAGTGTGCTCACGAATGCATCAACACACTGGGTTCATACTACTGTCTCTGCCAGAAAGGATTCGTGCTCACCGAGGACCACCGAGGATGCGTCGGTAAGACAAACAATGTTCATGATTCACAGATTCCATCTACAAGCTTTGTATTTGTTAAGCTTCGCTTTACTTCACCGAAGGCACAGGCTGCATCTGCCTTCTCCGTGGACGTATCACCACAGTTCCCACAGAATGGTGAAGATCTGAACTGTATATCCGTGCATCGAGTGAATGTTGCAACACTGAGCCACAGTGTCTGTCTTGGACTGCTCAGGACACTTCTAATGCGACTGTTGTCTCTTCAATCTGGTACAAGGATTGAGTTTGGTTGACGCAAGTCTGAAGGGCATGCATTTTGAAGACACAATCTCACAAGTTTGGGTTAAGGTAGTGTGGCTTTTCCGTGTATTTCTGAGCACTTGTGCATTGTTGTGTATGTGTTGGTATACGTGTGCCTTTCTATGTGTGGGTTGATGCGTGTGTGTGCGAGCGCGTGCGTGTGTGTGTGTGTGTGTGTGTGTGTGTACTTGCTTGCATGCCTGTATTGTGATCAGATGTGAACGAGTGTGAGATCCTGGGTTCTTGCAGTCAGATGTGCCATAACACAATAGGCAGTTACACATGTAGCTGTGCTGATGGCTATCTGCAGTATGCTAACAGAAGATGTCGAGCAACGGGTAAGTCTCACCATCTACTCCTGTGTGCTGGCTAGCTCTGGTCTACGAAAAAACCCCTTAGAGAATACCGTATTTCCTCGAGTCTAAGTCGCACCTTTCTACACTTACATTTCAGGGCCATCAAAGGGGATTAGAAGCGGTGAGGCCTCCTGCAGTTTCATACAGAATTACAGATGGAGCGGACTCGCTCCCTTCTATTTACACTGCAACGTTCGAACACATTTTCGTAGTTAAAACAACGTTTCGGCATATAGCCCTCATCAGGTTTGCAATGATGTGCACTCTACAAAGGAGCAGCAAATATACTGTGCTGTGCTGTGTTTGCGCCAAATGTGTCAGCTACAAAGGTGGCGAAAGGGATTGGTGATATATTAATATCCAGATACGATATATTCACAGTAGTGCCCAGCCAGCATTAGTGTTTACTTGCGGCCGCAAGTTGCGGATTTCAACAGCTTCTCGCAGTTTTCTGCTTGCTCTGTCGCCTGCCCTTGCCAGGACTGACACAGCCGAGAACACACTATCCGCAGCAGCTATACTCTCGCCAGAATGTTTGTCGCGCACGTGGTCACCCCATGGCTTATCGAGAGTGCGACGGCGTGCCTCGCCATTGTGCTCCCGAATTCTTGTTTCCAAGGAGCGTTCCGTCTCCCCTACATACGTTTCCCGGCACCATTTGCATTGCAATTCATAGACTACATTCTTTGTCATACATACTCGTTCGCCTCCAGACTGACAGGTAATGCAAGGCCCTAGTGGACGTCCTCTTCGTCTTTTTTCAGTAATGTTGGGCTCGTTTACGCACTTGGGTGGTAACAGCGCCGAACGGCACAGTTGACGCCTGAGGCTGCCCGAGTGCTCGTATACGACACGTACCGGCAACTTGTATTTCCGTATTGCTTTGTTCACATGGTGGTGTACTTCATCGGACTTGAACGGTAGTTTAAGGAAGGCAGAGCGGGGATTACCGCGTCGTCTACGCCGAGGTTTCCTGGCAGCTTCCCTTGCTTCCGATATGATACTGTCTGGGTAGTTATTTATGCGCAGTTGTTTGTGTATTTTTTGTTCGCTCTCGGCTTGCATCATGGGGTTAGACGATAGTCGCTGTGCCCTTAGGAATTGAGATTGAGCGACGGCTAACTTGATGTGGTGAGGAACATCATCATCATGATCAAAGGGGAGCGACTTATAATCGAGCATGACATACTACTGAAGGCAATATATTGAAACAAGACGACATGAACCTGGAGATGGGGGTGCGACCTACAATCTAGTGCGACTTACAAACGGGGAAATACGGTACTCGATCTCCGGACAGTTAGGTTTTTTGACCTTGTTGCTCTTTACTCAGAGATCTTAAACGTACGGCTACGATAGTGTTGACAGATTGCTAGTTGTTGTAGTCTCTGTTCACTGGCTGTCATCGTACCATCATGTCTCACCATGCCTGATGGTGATAGTGTTTGCTTTACGGAAGCATCTTCCCTCCCCGCTCAAATTCACATTAAACCAATGTTTGGGAACAGGAATGACTTGTCTCGATAAGGGTTCTGTAGTGCATAGAATCACATACGTTGAGAAATTCTATAAAAAGAATCACCTGTAATGAGTGGTTTTGCTCTCCGCCAATGTATTTAGGTCCACCAGGGTCGCTGATTTTCTCCAACCGAGAAGACATCCGACAACTGACTTTGGATGGCAGCAAGTACACCACTATTATACCATCACAGGTAAGACGATGGCAGTACCCCCCCCCCCCCCCATTGGATTTGTTTTGGAAACTGGGGCCCAAATAGTCCTTATTCTATTGCTTCAAAATCACAAATTATAGCCGCACCTACCGCACTAGTTCCGATGCCCCTGCGGTAAGTCATGCAGGCAAGGTAGAGCCTTTCACTGGCTCAACCCGCAACAGTCTCAGCTTCCTAATGATAACGCGATTTGATTTGGGTGATGTGAATGGTTAGCATTTTCTCAGGCATTTTTCACAGAGGGCGGTTGTGTTCCTGCAGATGTGGAATATTCAGTCTTAGTCTCATGCAAGCCGGGCCATGATTTTTTCCGTTTTATTTTGCAGAAAAATGCCATCGCAGTGGATTATCACTACCAACGGGATCTTCTGTTCTGGACTGATATCACCCTGGATGTGGTCTTCTCTTCCTTCCTGAATGGTATGTTGGAATCATCCCTTCTTAGTGATGCAGCTAAGCATCATGTCTTTGAATGTCACTATCACATCAGTCAGTGTTGTGCTAATTCAGTGTTGCCCATTCTGATTCGCCAGTAGCCTGCTTATAGTTGGTAGTGCTGGACAAACAACGGATAACTTGTAAACTGTTAGTCCTCTCTGTTTAGTTGTGTATGTTCCATAGCCAGCAATTGCATGTCATCACGTACATTCAAAATCAACATATTTTGCGGATCGACCTTTTTTCAGCATCACTTTTCAACGAGGACGAAGCAAAGTCGGCCGAACGAAGCCCAGAGGAAGAAAATCACCCTCTCCACTTCACCATCACGATACTGACATAGATACAAGACGAAACAACTAAAAAATACACAAGAAAACTGTACGGCAATCTTCGCGCTGACTTTGGTCTGAGAATTTCTATCACGATCAAAAATGTACGAGGAGCACTCAAAATAAGCTACAGACGTACCTTTATCACTCTCTACTCCTTTTTCAAGGCACAAAAGTCGACTCTCCACTTTCAAACCAGGAACCAGACATACCAGTGGTCTTTTTCAGCTGCTCAACGAGCGCAGGAAATGTTCACCAAGGGGCGCAGAGCAGCATCCATTCCAAAAAAAGAGCTAAAATACGAGTGAGACTGCATGCCTGAGTACGTGAGTACATGCAGAAAATAGTCAATTTCAGCGTTTCTGCTCCAAACAGCAACTTGCTTCGACTAGCTACAAAGATTACACCAAAGGATCAAACAACAACCGTTTTCTTCATTTTTTTTGACAGGTGGCTTCCTTGTGCTTGGCCCAGCATGCCAAAAATCGCACCTTGGAGGAGTACACAAATTACAACTCTCAGATGTCCTCGATTGCTGGCCATGTCTTTTTATGGAAAAATGCGACGGCTGTATGGCCCGGTTGTCGGTCAGCTTTCCCGCAAACGGTTCGGGAGTGACAAGCTGGGCTGGCTGAGCCATGCTGGTTGTTTAGGAAGTTAGGTTTGAATCACATTATTTTTATAAGAAAATGCACCACTGCCAGCAATGTAGTGGCAAGCGTAGCTGGTGTAGTGTTGAGTTTCATAGGTAGCCAGTCTGTGCAGTGATGACTTGTGTGTGTGTGTGTGTGTGTGTGTGTGTGTGTGTGTGTGTGTGTGTGTGTGTGTGTGTGTGTGTGTGTGTGTGTGTGTGTGTGTGTGTGTGTGTGTGTGTGTGTGTGTGTGTGTGTGTGTGTGTGTGTGTGTGTGTGTGTGTGTGTGTGTGTGTGTGTGTGTGTGTGTGTGTGTGTGTGTGTGTGTGTGTGTGTGTGTGTGTGTGTGTGTGTGTGTGTGTGTGTGTGTGTGTGTGTGTGTGTGTGTGTGTGTGTGTGTGTGTGTGTGTGTGTGTGTGTGTGTGTGTGTGTGTGTGTGTGTGTGTGTGTGTGTGTGTGTGTGTGTGTGTGTGTGTGTGTGTGTGTGTGTGTGTGTGTGTGTGTGTGTGTGTGTGTGTGTGTGTGTGTGTGTGTGTGTGTGTGTGTGTGTGTGTGTGTGTGTGTGTGTGTGTGTGTGTGTGTGTGTGTGTGTGTGTGTGTGTGTGTGTGTGTGTGTGTGTGTGTGTGTGTGTGTGTGTGTGTGTGTGTGTGTGTGTGTGTGTGTGTGTGTGTGTGTGTGTGTGTGTGTGTGTGTGTGTGTGTATGTGTGTGTGTGTGTGTGTGTGCACGCGTGTGTGTGTGTGTGTGTGTGTGTGTGTGTGTGTGTGTGTGTGTGTGTGTGTGTGTGTGTGTGTGTGTGTGTGTGTGTGTGTGTGTGTGTGTGTGTGTGTGTGTGTGTGTGTGTGTGTGTGTGTGTGTGTGTGTGTGTGTGTGTGTGTGTGTGTGTGTGTGTGTGTGTGTGTGTGTGTGTGTATGTGTGTGTGTGTGTGTGTGTGTGTGTGTGTGTGTCTGTGTGTGGTGTGTGTGTGTGTGTGTGTGTGTGTATGTGTGTGTGTGTGTGTGCACGCGTGTGTGTGTGTACTCTCCGTCCATGCAGGAACCAACACGCGTCGCATTGTCGACCTTGGCCTGTCCAGTCCGGGCGGTCTCAGCGTGGACTGGATGAACGACCTGCTGTACTGGACTGACTCCGGCAGTGGAAGAATAGAGGGTGAGCTGGTGTCGCACTGTCCAGTGTTACATGACCAACATGAATAGAATGAAATTCAGTTAAAGGAAACTTGCAATCCATTGTACAGCATTGTTCTGATGGGCCTTTCTATTGAAAATATATCGATTCAAACTAACCATCCAAATAGCAGTTCAACTTGCTGATATGATCACATGATGCATTTTCAGTTGACCGTGGGGTATGGCATGTGTGTGCATTGGTTACTACAGCTGGAACACTGGATGGTAGCAAGCGACAGGTCATAGCCCACCAAGGGGTGGGCAAACCGCGTGCAATCGTTGTCGACCCATGTCGTGGGTAAGGACATCATGCCTAGGCATCTTGCCTTTCTGCATAATTGTCTTTCATCGTGAATCGTAGTTGGTGCCAATGTGGAGCGAGTCTACGCCCTAAAGTGCGTTCGCGTGTGTCGTAATGTTTGGCAGAAAAAAAACCTTAAAAGCGGTGCGGTGAAGACCAGGCTAAATGATGCCAGTCAATTCCTCAACCATACAAGCTCGACCTGTGTGTAAGGTCTTAGATCTACCGTCAGCACCTACCAGTGCTGTCGTGCAAGGAAGACCAAAGTGGCATACACCAATCTAACTACAATGGTGCTGGATGAAATCCGATCGTGTAAATCGAGTATGCGCCAGGTGCTATGCAGCCCTAGACCTGCGGGCACTGGGATGTTCACTGGGTCAGAGTGCTACGTTGACTCATTGGATTTCATTGAGCAGCACTGTACAAGATGACGCGAGATAGAGGAACAAACACAATAAGTGTGTGCATGTGTGTGTGTGTGTGTTTGTGCGTGTGTGTGTGTGTGTGCACGTGTGTGTGTGTGTTTGTGTGTGTGTGTGTGCACGTGTGTGTGTGTGTGTGTGTGTGTGCACGTGTATGTGTGTGTGTGTGTGTGTGTGTGTGTGTGTGTGTGTGTGTGTGTGTGTGTGTGTGTGTGTGTGTGTGTGTGTGTGTGCATGCGCACATATGTGTGTGTGTGTGCATGCCTGTACTTGTACTTGTGTGTTATATCATTGACAGCGTACTGTACTGGACCGACTGGGGAGAAGAGCCAAAGATCGAGAAGGCAAGTCTCGACGGAACGCATCGAACAGTACTGGCCAACACACGGCTATTCTGGCCGAATGGTGAGTTTCACATAGCTACCCATACATGCTCATGTCAGCACTCAGTGTTTTCATATCCCAGCTCCCAGCATGTATGAAACCTGGCACTTGAACTGCAGCTCTTCGTAATGATACACTATGACTAAATGCCAGTGGAACATAAGAGAAAGATCTGCGGTGACGCACCTGCTGTACTTAAGGGCTCCAACAGTGCATAGCGTTCTGTGCATACCGTAGTTTTTATTTTTATTTTTATTTTTTACTATTAGGCCACACCAAGTTTTTTCATTGTTTCTCGTCACCGCGCGCGTACCTTTCTTGAGGATTGGACCAAAAAAAAATCTCGCGTCCCGGTAAACACGCATAAAAAGGCGTTGTAAAAGTACGCGCGGCGTCAAACCTGGAGTGCAGTGCTAGTGCACGAACCGAAGGACGACTTTTGCACCGTGTATGTACGCATACCGGTAGTTCAAGTACCACACCACCACACGACCTGGTCGTCTTCTTTGCTACACACAGTTCCGGTACAAGTCAAGACAGTGCATGACAGTGCACCGTTTTGGACTGACAGTGTTCCGGGCATCGGTAAACTTGCGGCATTGCGGACTACAAGCACTGTGAAGTTGCCGTGATTCCTTGAGTTCTTTATCAGTTCATCTCGTCGTGGGCGACGATGGCATCTGAAATAGTCAGCTTCGCTGTGACTGTGCAGAGGTCTAGCCAGGATTTTATGCCAGCCGGCCAACGTTCTAGTTAAAATGCATCGTTCTGGGGGCTGTGCCCCCAGACCCCCGCCATCAGTCACGTATCCACACAGACACACAGACACACACACACACACACACACACACACACACACATACACACACACACACACACACACACACACACACACCACTACAAATCTTTCATTGCGGCTTGCATCTCCTTTCGCTTCGTCCAATTATGGGCATTCATCAGGCAGTTGTGAAAATGTGATTATAGGTAAATTAACAAAAATTAATATGAAAAAGGAAGCAAACAGCTACATGAGCATGGATCATGTGTTCACCAACGTCATGTCTGCATGCAGTGTACATTGGTCATCTGACAAGACCCAGTCTAGCCACAGCAGTGTACACCACCAGAAGCAGCGAACCATGACCCAACCTGTTAGTGTTACATTTTACTGACGTACTCAAGTGCATTTGAGCTTGATCTTGAGTGAAGAGCTAGCACTGAGCCTGAGTAGCCAGTGCTACGTACTGTACTGTACAAACCTACCCCTAGGATATGGGTTGTACTCCACTATCTCACTCAAGTGCTAGTGCAGTGCACTACAGTCTCCACGGGGTGACTGCAGCCGGCCGGCCAAAATTACCCTTGGAGCTGTCTCAGCCGGCAGGTCTCCCTCCCAGCCGGCATTCTGCCGGCTGAGCCGGCTTTGGCTAGATCACTGCTGTGGATAGCAGAGAGATACTTTCTTGGAACGCTCAACTTGTTGACGAAGGCTTGTCCTTCTCTCAAATTTTTGAAAAGCTGTTGTCTGCCGATAGTGGTGTTGTATTCAATCGACCCTTACCTGATCCGTCCGTATTCTCATCCTTGACCGTGACTGTTCAAAAGGAACCTGCCCGCAGCTCTGCAGTCGTGACGGTTCAGAAAGCTATGCCAGTTGTAGCAACTTGTACTCGTTTCGGATATTTCGTCCGCTTCTCTGTGAATACGGAAAAGGTCGAAGCAGCGCCGAAGCCGGCGAATGCGTTTGCACTCTTGATGAACTCCGCCGAAAAGTTGGCGCTACCTGACTATCGTGGATCAGCTGAGGCGCGGAGTGCCGGGAAATTGCGTGGAGACTGGGCTCTCCGTAATGACCTGATCGATCTTCTGCAAGCCAAAGGTGTAGGGTGGAAATTTGGCGAAGAGAAAACATCTGGAGCGATATTTCTTGACGCCTTGACGAATGTGCTCTTCCAAGTTTGCCCTGGAAGTCGTGTGAAGACACTGAGCGATCGTGGAGTGCATATTCCTAAGTTGTTCAGCAGTCTGTTGTTCAGCAGATGTGGTTGTGCGGTCTAGCCTCACATGCTCTGCCGATGTCGAGAGGGCCTATTTCTCGGCCAAGAAGGCCTTCAGTCCTGTCTGCAATGTGTGTGGCATCAACGCACCTGCTGCTACACCTGCTGATGTTGCCCGGCAGGATCAGTCCATTCACATGCCTTGCGCTGCCTGTGCCGCTCTGGGGAAGAAGCCCCGCACCCGTGGCCCCAGCTGTGCTGCAGCCACAGCACCATCCAGCAAGAAGAGGAAGCACCAGTGAACTGGACTTCTTTCTGCTTTGGGACTTGGTCTCCCTATTGTGTCATGCCATACTATGACAGATGCAGCTGTACATTGCTAGACTCGCCGCAGCATGTACTGCGCAGTTCATACGTTGTGACTGTTCGCTCCATTGTCATTGGAGCCTGCTGTATTCATTGTCTGGACTTGTCATGTCATGCCATGCCTTATCCCATAAGGTTTCTGTTTTAAATTTTAGCACAAGCGCGCACTTGGCTGTTCTTTTATGTACCCCTTGTATAATAACTTTGGTTTGCTTTCTTTCCTATTTAAATAACATGCAACACTGGACTTCCTCACCAGAGGCCGGTGCAGGAGCCTGGTTTTCTGGCTGTATGTTGCAATTGACTGTCACGCGTGGTGTATAGTCTGATTTTAGGTCATAAATTGGGCCTTTGTAGTGTAAATAGCAGTTTTTGTTTTTCAAACCCTATTTTGTTTTTTTTCCGCCCGCCCGCGTTCCTTTTGAGATTTTCAGGTGACGAGAAACAATGAAATAACTTGGTGTAGCCTTATTCACAAACCCAACTCGTAAAATAAATAATTATGTGGACAAAAACAAACAGCTAGTGCTGAGCCAACAACGCGATCATACTGTGTTCAACGCTTTGCTTCCTGGCACCTGCAGGTTTGACACTAGACTTTGAAGCACAGCGTTTGTACTGGGTGGATGGCAAGTTTCACGTCCTGGAAACGATGAACACCGACGGCAGTGCACGGCAGGTGATGCTGACGGCTGTGAGAGGTAAGTCTGAACATACACACAACATCCTCTGTCAGTGATTTTATGCCACGCTAATATCTCGCTGTAGTCTGTCCACTTATGGGTTTCTTTGGGCCACCGGGTGGAGCAGCTCCTAACCTTAGGTTAGGGCAGCACAATCACCTCTGCTTTTGTTCCAGCTGCAGAGTAGCACCTCGCCTGGAGGTGTTGGCATTCGAAACATGTTCTGCACATTGTAGAGAGAATAATTACAGTCAACACATCCACTTCAGTGAAGCTACTGAGCTTACTTGTCTTTGTTGTGTATGCTGATGTCCCCTACAGGTCTCCAACATCCCTTTGCAATCACCGTCTTTCAAGACTTCCTTTTCTGGTCCGACTGGCAAACAAAGACGATCTACATCGCCAACAAGTTTGATGGCAGCCAGCGCCTACGCCTGCAAGACAATCTTCTCTTCCCAATGGATCTGCAAGTACACCATCCGCTAAGACAGCCACAGTGTGAGTTGTGCAGACAGCATGCTGTGTAACGCTGGCCTGTACATGCTGTGGATCAGTTATTCACTCTTCAATGTTATTGGGCGCGCCTTTAATAATTGCTCGCTACAAACGTTCAAATGTTTGTGTGTATGTGTGTATGTGTGTGACTTCTCGACTTCCCAATCCAGGTTCTTCCAAGCGCTGCCCGCCTAATCACGGCTGTCAGTATATGTGCTTACCAAGGGTAGCAGCGGCTGGAGAGCTACCATACCGATGTGTGTGTGGAACAGGATTCAAGCTGGAGAGTAACAACCGAACGTGCAATTATCGTAAGGCGACATCCTACATTAAAAATCTATCCAACCATCCATCCCTGCATCCATCCCTCCATGCTTCCCTCCTTTTTTCCACCCATCCATCCATCCACCCATCCACCCATCCCTCCATCCCTCCACCCATCCCCCCATCCATCCCCCCATCCATCCATCCATCCATCCATCCATCCATCCATCCATCCATCCATCCATCCATCCATCCATCCATCCACCCATCCATCCATCCATCCATCCATCCATCCACCCATCCACGCAACAGGACATCTTCATCTTACACTACAATAACATACACAGATAATTTGACCGAAAGCAGAGTACTACAATTGCGAAGCATAAGGAATAGATTTCGAGTTAACCTAACTATGCTTGGTAATCTGTGTATTCCGATGTCCTGCACACAGGCCCCAAGGAATATCTTCTGTTCAGCCGACAACGTGACATTCGCAGAGCCAGTCTGGACTCTAACAGCTTCCTGGACACGGTCATACCCTACAACAGTGTGCAGAGCATAGTGGCGCTGGACTTCCACGAGAAAACACGGAAGATCTTCTGGAGCGACGTGGTGGCCGACACGATCAACCGCGGCGACGAACTCGGTCAAACACAGGAGGTGGTCATCAACACTGCGTAAGTTAGTGCTCTGTGAAGTGTCAACCATCGGGTTGGTCGGTTGGTGGAGGTGATCTGTGAAGCACATGGATCGAAAATGGTAGACATCTGCCATAGCTTTGGTCCAGTATAACCGTGGGATCGCTACATGCTGGAGTTTACTTCCAACAATGATGTGCATTACAGCAATTGGTCTTCAGACAGGTCTATACCCCATTGCAATACTGGCCGCTACGGCCAGTCTTCAGGTAAATGTACATAGTGTATATCCCAGTACAATACTGGCCGCTACAGCCCGGTTTCCGGTAGGTCTATGTACCGTACTATACCTGTGTGCTTTCTGCATATTTCACAGCTCTCTGACAACAGTACCACAGCCCAGTTACCTTTGGGCATGGCCTGTGTTTCTACTCCTGCTATATTGACAACATCACTGTTGCCTGATGATTGCCTCGTGCGTGAAAACTCGGAGTAGCAATGAACTCTTCATCCCTCCTCTTCTCCGTGTAACTAGCTCTGCCCTTGGGCATTGAGCACTCCATTGGATATCCTGTAATTTTCTGTTTTATTGACCGTGGCCATGTACAGGTTAGGAAGCCCGGCAGGTATTGCAGTCGACTGGGTAACTGACAAGATCTACTGGACAGATGGCGGCAACGACTTCATCGAGGTCGCAAACCTGGACGGAACGCAGCGATCTGTGGTCCTGTACACAGGACTTGACAGACCGCGTGACATTGTTGTCGATCCGTATGATAGGTAAGAGACAGGAGATGTTACACTTGCTCATGGGATGCAGCTCCAACATGCTGTTAGAAATTGGGCCTGTGTGATAACATGCCACAGAAGGTATCTCCTGTTGGTATGTTTGCCTGTGTATTTCCTTTACCCACTCAAAACATCTACTAGTGCAGCAATGCAGTTCAGTGAAATTCAATTGTGGGAGTCACGTTTGCGTACTGGACCAGATCCAATTCCAGTGTTCGCAGATCTAGGCCTGCACAGCGCTCGGCGAGTAATTGACTCACAAGATTGGTTTTCATTGAGCAGTGCTGTATAATAATGATGCTGCATTTCGGTGTTCAATAATCCATGCTGTAAACAACCACCTTCCTAAATTGATTGCTCGTGGGGCCCGGGAAATGCAGTCCTTGCACACTGGTAGTATCCTTATCCAATTTAATGCGTTTGTTCTCATGAAAGTTCTGATTAGGACATCGGAGACTCTCTACCGTGAAGGGGGGGGGTATTCATTTAGTATTGTTCCTATAACTCTGTGTGAATTGTGTGTGTGTGTGTGTGCATGTGGTTGTATGTGTATGTGCATATGCGTGCATGTATGTGTGTGTGTGTGTGTGTGTGTGTGTGTTCGTGTATGTGTTTGTGTGTGCATGTGCATGCTTAGAAAAATGTACTGGACGGACTGGAGTACTACAGCACCTGGCATTGAGGTGGCCTACATGGATGGATCATATCGAAGGAAGCTAGTGTCCAAAAGTATGTTCTAGTTGCTTTGCTTATCAATGGGAAGGGTGTGTTGCTGTCGCAAAAAATCTGTCCACTTTTCAGTATTTAAATAAAGCTGTGTGGACCCTGGCTAGCGCCAGATGTTACTGAAGTAACGTCTTCTGCATAGCTACGGGAATAATAGTAATTGGCATATCGTTGTTCTTGTTCCTTGCATTGTACCTGTGTTCCACCTGCTGAGCAAGAATGCATAGTACACTTGGGTAAAACTCTCAAAAATGTTGTTTGTAAAGATCCTGGAGTTTGTTCTCTTCCTAAGCCTGTGATAACATACGCTGTATTTGAACCTATTTCTGTGCAGCATGCTCTAGGTTTAGGTTCCTTCATCACCTCATGCCTGTGACCTGTTACATTGTAGATCCATGTGTAACCATCTACTGAGACAGAATAATGAGCAGTTGTTTTCGTAAGTCTGACTTTCACAAACTGAATCGATCATCAGACGAAAATAGATAACCATCTACCATGATCTACTGATGTCTGTGACCTGTATGTTGCATTGTAGACATCACCTGGCCCAATGGCCTGGCACTGGACCTGTACGGCGGACCAGATAAGCGACTCTACTGGGTGGACGGTGGACAGAAGACCATCGAGTCCATCCGCCTGGACGGCTCTGGCCGAATGACAATCCTGGAGAGCGAGCACACACTACCGCATCCATTCGGTATTACTGTGTATGGGGTGAGTTCATGCCGCGGAGGCTTTTGTCGCAATATTGGTACGAATGGTTTAGGAATCTTGTGCGGCTTTTTCTTCTGCCAATATGTGGGTGGGTGTTGTTTGCGACACCTTTATCAGATTCACTCTGATTTAGTAACCCACACTAGTATAATATTACCTGCACTGTAGATAGGGGTAACGCGGTTGGATCCCGGTGCGGATATCTTGATGCAGTCCTCTGCTCCTTATCCTCACCCACTTACTGTGGTGTGGTGAGCTTTTAGGTTGGATCATTTCCCAGGCCAGCTGGAGGTTGGGGATTTCAGGAGTGCCGACTGTTGGGTTATTCAATAGCAAATTATAGTCATATTTCCGCAGTTCCATTTGCTTCTCTCCCCTCTCCCAGGGAGACCCACATGACCTGTTTCTGGCAGTGAGCAAGTACAAGTAGTACAAGTATGTGTGTGTTTGTGTGTGTGTTTGTGTGTGTGTGTGTTTGTGCGTGTGTGTGTTTGTGTACATGAACTTCCATACACCTCAGGGTAATATTTACTGGACTGACTGGCAGACCGAATCCCTCCAGCGCTCCGACCTGAATGGCCACAATCGTGAGACTCTGTTTGACAACTTGCCAAGCCTCATGGATGTCAAGGTTTTCCACACGCCACCAGCATTGGACGGTAGGGTGATGTTAACAGGCTGAAGAATGTCAATGCTTCGTGTTGAGTTTGCTGATGTACACCAGACCATTGGTGTAATCAACTTGTCAATTGGCCAGGCTAAACGAAGTGCTAGCGGCCTAGTCAATGTGAATCACCTTGTGCACATCTAAAGCAACTCCCACAAACTATAGAGAAAATATTTTTCGTACAGAACAAGGAATCTACGAGCTCATCCTTTCATTATTGTTGGCAACATTGTCTTTTTACAATGCTCCTGTTGCTTTGCAATCCCATCAACATGACTGTGCTTCCCATGTTTCTCTGCAGTTCCATCGCCCTGTATGATTGGCAATGGCGGTTGCAGTGATCTCTGCTTGCTGTCCGTGGACCCGTCACAACCAACCTGCCAGTGTCCGACGGGAATCAAGCTCAGGGACGACGGGAAGACGTGTGAAGCTGGTGAGTGAATTGATGTGTGTGTGTGTGTGTGTGTGTGTGTGTGTGTATGTGGGGGGGGGGGATATGTGTATTATTATGTTGTTTGGTGATACTAAAGTAGAAATAACGGAGTGTTGTGCTGTTGTATAATTGAAATATTTTCAAGTACCAACTCCTTGTTAGCCACCTGATACCACTTCCAAGAAATTATAACTGGAGACCCTACTGCAGTTGTGTGATGTGATGGAATAACATGATGGTAAGGGCAGCTTAGAGAGCCTGTATGGGCAGGAGTGTGTTTATCCCCCCCCCCCCCCCCCCCTGTGACTTCGCCGGGCATCTCCTCACCACTATACTCTAACCCTTTCAGGTGCTGCTAAGCTTTTAATAGATGCATTAACTCAATGTGTCGCTTTGCTCTTCGCAGACCTTGAGAACTATCTGATTGTGTCGCGGCGCACGACGATATCTCGCATTTCGACGGACGTTCCGTATCGCAAGGAGTCACCTCTGCCAATCACCAGTCTGGAGAATGCCATTGCTCTGGACGTCGATAGTGCTAGTGGTGAGTGTTCTGTAGGGCAACAAATATTTGGCGCGTATTTATTTTCAGCTGTTTTCAGCGTGGGCATCTTTGGCCGAAAACCTGTTGCGGCTAAATTTTGTTTTGCAAGGTTCAGTGTGACAGTGTATGCAGGCAGCAGACGTGGATAGTGCTAGCGGTGAGTGTTCTGTAGGGCAACAAATATTGGGCGCATATTTATTTTCAGCTGTTTTCGGCGTGGGCATTTTTGGCCGAAAACCTGTTGCGGCTATATTTTGTTCTGCATGGTTTAGTGTGACAGTGTATGCAGGCAGCAGCTGTACAGACAGCAGCAGTACAGGCTGAAGTTGTAATGCGGCCGAAATGTGTTTTAGCCCTGGGAGGCCGAAATTTGACCGCGCCGAATGTGTATAGAGTTACAGCAAGTGCTCACACATCAACTGATGCTTGGTGATAGTCTGTACTTTTTGTACTTTATATGGGTGTACATGTACAGAGCAAACTGTGGTATGGATCTAAATGATGAGATGTATTTGCATCGTCATTGCCCTACCTTGCACTGCTGAGGAATCCGATGGAAAATGAAAATGTACTTCTTCGACTGCTCAACCTCCGGACAGATAGTTGTTTCGACCTTGTTAGATTTGCTACTACTTCATAGGACTCAATCCAGAGCTCAGTCAAAGCTCAGCCTCGTGCCGGTAGCATCAGGACAAGAGTACAAAAACACGGGAGAGAAGTGTGACACTTGGCGGGGTGAACTTCAGGCATGGAGCTTCTACTGTCGTGGACATGGCAATCTGGTGGAATGACTGGGCGGGGCGGGTGCCCTCAGTGCGTATGTTGATCCGATGCGATCAGCACTGCAGCGCATAGATGAAACAGGTGTAGGTCTAGCATATGTGCACTCACTGCTCCAACGCACTGGGGTCGCTCGACCTCCGACCGGATTTCCATGTCCACCACAGTAGCATCAGGCAAATAAAAAATTTGATTTTTGTGTGCTTTAGGGCTGCTGTTCTGGACGGATGGCCACAGGGGACAGATCTCTAGATCCACCGTGACGGGAGAGAACGTTGTGGCAATCCAGGACATTGCAATCGAGACGCCGGACGGTAGGTGCAGCCATCTGGACGTGTACACATGTTGTGACCGATACACTATAGCCGCTGACTCTGGAGGAGCTGACTATTAGCATGATAATCAGTAATCACTGTTCAGTAGTGATGTAGAGCGTGGTGTCTCATCAAACAATTGCCCTGTAAAAATATTGCAGGTCTTCCATGTCCTAGAAAGAGTCAGACTCATTCTAGCACATGGAAAAGCAGGTTTGTTTTACAGGTCAAATGTTTGAAGAGACACCGCACTCTACAGCATTACCAATTTCCCTTCAATTACGGACGAAAATCTTTTGATTGCCTTAAGATGGCAGAGAATTGAGAGCAATGGGGGGTACTGACATGTGGCCAAGAAAAAGTATTCCTTCATCAACATGAATTTGAATTTGACACATGTGTGTGTGTGTGTGCGCGTGCACGAGAGAGAGAGAGAGAGAGAGAGAGAGAGAGAGAGAGAGAGTGTGAGAGAGAGAGAGAGAGAGAGAGAGAGAGACACACACACACACACACACACACACACACACACACACACACAGACACACACACACAGAGACACAGAGACACAGAGAGATGGGGGGATGGGGGTGGAGAGGGTTCTCTCGTCGTATTGGTCCAACAAAGTCAACACAAGTTCCTGGCCATTGCGGCTATGCTGAATGTGTTGTTGTACAGGTATTGCCCTGGACACAGCATCACATTTAGTGTACTGGACGGACACCAACACTGATCGTATTGAGGTCTGCACGTACCAGGGCATGCACAGGAGAGTGCTCATCTGGGAGGATCTGCATAGTCCACGCGCCATTAGCCTTGATGTGGCCAGAGGGTGAGTCGCTATACAGCGGGATCATGACCATTAAGGTAGCCCTAAGTCAATTCTGACCATTGGGGCAAGAGGTGTCAGAGGCTTCCATTTTCACAGAGCTCAATCTTATAGGGCAGTTATTAAGGATGTGCTGCATGGTACACGATGAAACTATGACAAGTACTCGCCCAAAAAAACCCAGGGGTACCAATGGCTTAAAGCTAGAGTAGAATAGTGTGTTCACTGGCAGCATTGAATGCTGGACAGTTGCGCAATGCCTGAGCTGCTCTGTACTGTGTACTGCACTGTAGGTTCATGTACTGGACTGACTGGGGACGCGACGCTCGCATCGAGCGAGCGTGGCTGGACGGCACTCACCGCGAGTCCCTGATCACCACCGACATCCAGTGGCCCAACGGACTCACGCTGGACCTGTCCAACAGGCACATGTACTGGGTGGACGCCATGCGTCATACGCTGGAGAGAAGCGGCCTTGACGGTTCCGGCAGGATCGCCCTGCGCGATGATCTCGCTCACCCGTACGGGCTGACCATACTCGACCAGGTAGTATACTGGACTGACTGGCAGGAGAGGGCCATTCTGCAGTACGACATTGCGAAAGGTAAGCTACGGACTGCTATGATCAGTAGAGGCGTGTTGCTCAAGATTGTGTCCTGTGTGACACCATAAAATCAGTTCTCAAGTGCTTGAAGATAATCATACATTCGGAGTTGTACAGCAGGGCTTGCTGTGCACAAATAACTAGTTGTTATCCAGGAAAGAAACTCTCACAGAGGGAAATACCAATTGTAACTGGTTACGATCGGAGGGCCAAGAATGACTGTTCCCCGAATCGACAGGGCTGCCCAATGAATCCGATCGCGTGGGTCTAGTTCTCGCCCTGGGCCAGTTTACATACCAGTGTGTTCAGGTCTAGGGCTGCGCAGTGACCGGCGCTGCATTGGCTGCTTGCTTGACCGGATTTCGTTTAGCAGCACTGTAGAAGTGGCAAGTCCCCTACTCAGTTGGTTGTAGCTGCTCCAACAACAACATTGTCTAGTAGTATCTTGTTTTGATGGCTATCAGTATGGGTTGGCTATGGTTTCTCTCCAGGTAACATTTCCATCACTATTCCGCACTTGGCCAACCAAATGGATGTCCATGGAGTTAGCAGTCTCGGCAGATCAGGTACAGGCACTTAATAAATAGCATGGTACTCTGACGTGCGAGTGTTGATCAATCTATCCATGGGTGTTTTCAGCCAGTACATTGGGTGTTGATCAACCAGTACATTGGTGTGTATCAGCCAGTACATGGGTGTTGATCAACCAGTGTGTGGGTGTTGATCAGCCAGTACGTGAGCGTTGATCAACAAGTGTGTGGGTGTTGATCAACCATGGCTTGCTCGCAGCGTCCACACGGAATTTGACACAACACTTATGCTTTTCTTCCTTCCTGAATTCTCCGAGCATATAGTAGCTCCTCTCTCCCACATAGAATAGTTTCATTGAGGTATTGCAATGCAGAAAATGGGGGGGGGGGGGGGGAGAGAGGCTGGATGTGCAAATGATTTTAGTATGCCCTTCAAAAATGAACTCTGAATTTGAAATAAATTATTGGCCGAAATTTTGCTTGATGTCTTCCGCTGCTTCTGTTCTGTATTGACTGTTCAGTGAGGACGCAGTGTAGCAGTAACAACGGCGGCTGTGATCAGCTATGCCTCAACACGCCGGAGGGCGCCAAGTGTGCCTGCTCCACGGGACTCGTAGCATTGGAAGGAACGTGTCCAAGAGGTAAATACAGCATAAACCCGCTTAATCCAGGCTGCCCAGATACGGGCACTTCAATCTACTGGTCACCTTTCTGACCCTGTCCAGATGCAAAATCGCTTTCGACAAAAATCGACACCAAACGTGTTGATTGGTTCGATGATGTCATCTTCATTTGGTCCGTCGATTCATAGCAGTAGTAGGTTCTTTGTTCCCCGACCAGACGAAACCACACGACGCTTGCAAATACCAGCACGAACAGCTCACCAGCAACCACACAACAGCAAGTAGTTACTCCTGACAAGCTTGTTGTGTTCCGTATCATTCAACACCTGCTCTCCTCCGATGAGTTCCACTATCTTATGGAACGCAACAAGCTTGTCAGGAGGAACTACTTGCTGCTGTGGGGTGTTGCTGGTGAAACTTCGTGCTGGTGCTCGCAAGTGTCGTGTGGTCCCATCTGGTTGAAAAAAGAACCTACTACTAATGTTGATTGGCTTAAAACATTGTTACATTCATGCAGTCAGTATGTATGTTCTTAGTCAGGGGCAATTCCTAGTGGCGGGCAGTGCCCAGTCCCAACCCACACAGAATAAGAGTTATACTGCAGTCACTAAGAATGACTGTGATTGAAACTCACGAGCCAGAGTCATTTGCGCGTGAGCAATACAAGGGAAATGACGCGTGAGAACTCAAGCTTTCTTGCTTGGACCAGACTTTTCTCGGAGCCCGTCATTTGTATTTCGAAAGTATTCCTTTGAGTTCTGTGAATGTATCCTTGCGTATGGATGTGGTGAAGCCGAAAGGCTGCTTCAGTATTGGGCTGGGCTTGCGTGTGTGTGTGTGTGTGTGTGTGTATGTGTGTGTGCACGTGTGTATGTGTGTGTGCATATGTGTGCACGTGTGCCGTGTGTGTGTGCATATGTGTGTGCACGTGTGCCATGTGTATACGCGTGTCTGCAGTGCCGGACGAGTTCCTACTGTTCTCGACCAGCCAAAGCATCCGTCGCATATCGCTGGACACACCAGACATGACTGACATCATTATAATACCCAGTAAGCACATCAAACCTCACTCCTCAACGTCAATATAACGGTCTCCTTACTGCGATTCAAATTAATAATATTACACCATATTTTCGGGCCTGGCCTTTCATCAGGGAAATAGAAATACTAGTATGTAAGCAGTCAGTACATGTCCCTGATAGACCTGTACCATTCACGTAGGCTGGTACATCTCCTAGGTCGACATGTACAATTCACGTAGGCTACGAACACGCCTGGAATCCATATTTCCTTTCTTTGCAGAATGTTCCCAGCGGGATTTCTTCGCTGTTTCTTTGCTCTGTTCAAACATGCAAACTTTGTGGAGACTATGCTGTTGTGTTTGCAAAGAAGAAAAGAAGAGTGCTGCAGCATCACTCACTGCTTGGAGTGTGTGATGGTATTCAGAATTTAGTGTACTGAATACAGCTGTATGCAGTAATAAAACAGTTGCACGCATGAACGAACACCGACACTGACACATACACACACACAGAGGAAAACACACACACACACGCACCCCCTCCAGACACACACAGGAAAACACACACACACACACACACACAAACGCACGCACACACACACACACACATACACACACACATGCACACACACACACACACACAGTGTGACCGCTTGAATGACCTGTCCATTCTCTATGCTTGCTCCAGGCCAGAAGAATGCCATTGCGGTGGACTTCCACGCGTCATCAAAGCGGCTTTATTGGTCAGATGTTAAGGACGATGTCATCCTACGATCAGAATATGATGGCAGTAACCAAGAGGTACGAAAGCACCACAATGGGGCCGGAGGGGGGTGATGGTCCAATATTTGAGAAATACCGAAAACGGGTGCAGAACTATGTAGGTATGGACGTACTCGAATATGTTGGGTGCAAGGTCATGGGGCATGGAGACAAGAAAGATGTTGCATACATATTGTGCTACTTTACATGATTGAATGCCATGATACTTGCCAGTACTGGCGACAGGATTGTGGAAGAGCCTTTGCCACCCTACCTTTAACTTTTTATCCATGTAGAGTAATGAATCGAAATTTAGACCAGATACGGTCAGCAACTTCCTTGTTATTTTCGTGTCACCCCAGAATGTGTGTGCAATTCTGCAGATTGCGCAGGCAATCTGGAATCTTCAGATTGAGCAAATTCTCAGAATGCGAGGAACATAATTATATGTGTGTGTGTGTGTGTGTGTGTGTGTGTGTGTGTGTGTGTGTGTGTGTGTGTGTGTGTGTGTGTGTGTATGTGTGCATGTGTGTGTGTGTGCGCATGCGCCCCGATACGCATGTTTGCATGTGTGCATGGGTGTGGACGTGTGTGTGGACTTGTGTGCACTATCCAATGGTGCGGCCCTGCTGCAGCTGGTGGTGAAAGATATCGCCACACCGGATGGTATTGCGGTAGACTGGATTGGTGATCACATCTACTGGACGGACACGGGTGGCAACATGATCGAAGTGGCTCGCTTGGACGGAACCGGGCGCAAGGTGATCATCAATACCGACTTGGACGAGCCGCGCGACATCACACTTTATCCTTCCAGAGGGTACGCGCATTCACCTTGTAGTGGTGTCTCAAAATTTCCGAATTCACGTATTCCTCCAAGCAAAGTGTATTCGGTTTCGCCGGCCAGTAATTGAACAATTGGAATTTTCTGATTGCTATTCCAAACAAACAGTCCTCCCCCTCCCAACCCATTCTTGGGGTGAGGGATACTGGAATAGACCGATCCCCTTATTATACTGGGTTCGAGCACGGGGGCAACCTCACTCGCGATCGAGCTAGTTTTTGAACGTGACAGCATCTTTGACAGTGTGTTTCAGGTTTGTTTTGGAATGTCTTCTGCTTAGTTCAAGTAGTTTGCGATGGCTTCGAGCGGTGCTGAACCTCCTGCTGGTAGGAGCAGAGTCTCCGAGAGAGACATGGACTGTGATGCAGCTGTAGGATTTTTTCAAGGTGCGGGAGGGAACGATCTCGGGCCACAAACAGGAGTTACTCCAGAGGTGAGTTTTGTTGTTGTTGAAATATTCGAATCGTGAATCGTGTTTTGAGATTTATTTTGTGCCTAGGCTTTAGCAGACCGTATTTCTTTCTCCTTGAGATCGGTGCTGAAGGCAATAGTAACCTTTTTCTGGTCTGCCTTTTCCGCTCCAGAGCCATCTTCTATGAAGGTAACCGTGGTGCTGCCAAGTCACCAAGTCGCGATCGCGATCAGCAGCCCTGAAGTGGAAAAATCGATTTTCCAACGATCTGGTTGGACATCAGCCACTAAAGTACTTCTGATTTGCCTGTAGTGACAACAGCAGCCATCCTTGGACACCTTGCAAAGACAGGAAAAGCCACTGGTGGAAGCGACTGCTATGAGGTGACGATAGCAGTGCAGTGGTGATCGCTGTTTTGTCAAGTCGAAGGGCTAGCCAACCCAGAGGAAGCAAAAAAAATGATGAGCAGTGCGTGGTATTTGTTGAGCGTGAAGAGCTAGAGGAGGACAGTGCAAACACATGGACGGAGTGGATGGTGTTTGAAGAACAGTGTGCTGTGTGCCGGCTGGTGGTGATGGTGATCTTTGTCAGCATGTATTCGTGCTGCTTCTTGTGCTGGAACACTTCTCGCCCAGGAAGGCAGATTGCGTTCTCCCTGGCCCTCAGTCGGCAATGGGGCATTTGTTCCAGGAACATTACCCCAGAGCCAGTGATGAGTCGTACCTTTGAAAAGTTTGAAGCTTGCTGTTAATCGCAAGCGTAGCGCAGTGGATTGCTCCCTCTTCGAAGCACGAGGGCCAAAGCTTGCCGCTGTCTGCAGCAAAGTGTGTGTGCGGTTCTTTCGAACCTATGAATATACCCCCCCCCCTCTATCTCTTAGGAAGACTGCATGACTTTCAGAGTGAACTATTTTCTAGTATATTTAATGTGAGACGGGCTGTTTACGCCCAAGATGAAGATACAGTTTTTTTTTCCGTTTCTATACCTTCCTAATAAAATACATCGTGACAGAGCTTTCGGTCATACTCCGCTGTACTACATCCTCAACCCGCCACCACCATGCGCTCTTGGCCGAACTAATGCACGAAGCATAAACACACCAGCACAGCAAGGACACTTCCGTTGACAGATATTATTTACGCCTCTAGACAGCTGTTTCGTTTCTTCAAGCTCATCGTTAGAGGAGGATAGTAGCAGGATACTAATGATGAAATAATATAAGATGATACTAGTAGATGGTTTATGGTCCGATATTGATGATTGGAGATCTAAGAAAGCAATGACAGTGATTGCGAAATGGATAATATTATCATGATTATATGCCAGTCTGGTAATGCGTTGTACTAGTGAACAGTATTGAAATCATCACTGCATTCGATGCAAATATTGGTATACCTTTGCTTTCAGTATTGGAAAAAAAGAACCTGGTTGATTTGGTTGCATCTGCGACTGGCTACCGGGTGTTGTGACCGGCAATGTTACCATGGGAGAAAATAAGAGCGCAAGGATCTGTTGGGTCTTGTTGTGCTGTGCCGGTGCGAGAACCCTAAGTGCATGGCAAAATAGAACTGTTTCATCCCCATTGCAGAATGTCTTGCGGTACATGGCATTGATGACTGAACATCTCGCCAGCTCAGCTAGCTATATGCCGTGAAACGGATGGTTAACTTGTGCCACGCATGCCAGCTTCTGTTCCATTCGGCCCAGGCTTAGACACATCAATGCCAATAGCAGCTGATCCTCCATTACATGCTCATTGGCGATTTACGGCCACCTCCAACTGTATCCGCCGTCCCTCAGCTTCCGTCTTCGTAGATCTGGCGCGGCGCATTACATTTTCTCGGCTAGGCTCAAAGAAGTCCCACAGAGCGGTCCAAACACCTGAAGGCAAACCAGTCAGAAACTGGAGCGGCTCAGAGTCTTTCTTTATGTTATTGTACGTAAGCTGTTTGTCGGCTTTCTTCACCCCAGTCCTCACATCGTCCAACTGCTCCACGAGACTCTGTACACGAGCTCTACTTGCTGCCAACTCCTGATGCAGATGCTGCACTTCCATTACAGGACCAAACTGCACTAAGCCAGGTTCCTTTCCAACTCAAAGTGCCGTTGCCTCTCAGCAAAATACTGGTTTGCGAGCATGGGGAGCTCGTGATGCAGACGCTGCACTTCCATGACCGAACTGCACTAGGCTCAGCAAATACTGTTTTGCGATCATGGGGAGCAGGGCGTCCAGACTCCACTCTCTTGCGAAAAGCAAACCTGGTACCGTAGGACAGCTGTTTGGTTTCCTGGACTCATCATGTCCTTGTAGAGCTGGGCAAAACGATTTCGATTTCGGGATCGAAATGATCGCTGCAACTCAAATATTCAGAGTGACCCTAAAACTACGTCCTTCCTCACGGGGAATAGCCTGGATCCGCTTGCTCCAGGCCGCTGTGGCTCCACACGAGGAAAGGAGTGAAATGACTTGTTTGCTTCGTCCTCCTGTTCTGACAGTGAGGAACGCAGCAATGTTCTGAGAAGGCATCCTGAAGTCGTAAAAAGGAAGACGTCTAAACAAAAACAAAACAGCTCAAATCAAAAGTCCTTGTGGCATTTTTTTGTAGACAGGCTTGCACTGCACGTAGATCTCGTGTGCTCTGCATTTCGCATGCGAGAAGTCACGCACAGTCTCGGTGAGGTTGGTCGCGTGTGTGCAGCAGGATCCCACGCGACTGCGGAGTTGCCCCCTTGCTCGAACCCAGACAATAATAAGGGGATCGGTCTATTGGAGATGATCTCTTGCAGAGTTGCATGTATAGTGAAACCTGTCTAAGACGACCGCGCGGGGACCTTCAAACATGTGGTCTCTGTTACACCAGGTGGTTTCCTTATCCAGGGTCATTTGACTGGAAATAGCATCTCTTGGTCCTGGTTGCGGTGGTCTTCCAGGACAGGTGGTCACCTTGACAGGTTTTACTGTGCATGCATAACCAGTACTCAGCCATGCCAGGTACTGTGCATGCATAACCAGTACTCAGCCATGCCAGGTACCGTGGTGGTCAGGACACCCAGAGTGGAGTGTGTGGCGTGACTCACTTTCGATTGCATCATCCCAATGGAGTGCACTGGCCACCTCGAGTGGTTCAGAGGTAGTCTGCCATTGGGTGCAGAGAACGTGACGTCAGGTAGGGGATCGCTTACCTCCAGCAATCTACATGTAGATACAGCTTAGGAATAGAAGTTTTCCCTTGGGGACACCCACACCCACACGAGCCCTGCACGATCATTCAGTCTAAACCTCTCGCTGGGATTCTGAGTTTCAAGACATGACAACCAAAGAAGCACGTGAACTTTCTGTACACATGCCCTTGCTAACAAGTCTGTTCCTGCTGTTGCTGGTGACATTTCTCTTGTTAAGGTTGATGTTCTGGTCCGACTGGGGCAATGATCCGCGGATCGAGCGAAGCAACATGGCCGGATTGAACCGAACTGTCATCGTACGAGATACGGAGAGCATGGAGTTGGGGTGGCCCAACGGACTGACAATTGACTTTCAACTTGACCGGCTGTTCTGGGCGGATGCACGGTTAGATACCATCGAGAGTGTGACGCTGGATGGGTATGATAGAAAGGTACGCTGGCTAATTACTCGGTGCCATCCATGCACATTGACATATGCAGGTTGTAGTGTATAGTGATTGGTGCAGCATTGTCTCTTTCTCTACTCTCTCTCTCTCTCTCTCTCTCTCTCTCTCTCTCTCTCTCTCTCTCTCTCTCTCTCTCTCTCTCTCTCTCTCTCTCTCTCTCTCTCTCTCTCTCTCTGTTTGTCTCTGTCTCTGTCTGTCTCTGTCTGTCTCTGTCTGTATCTGTCTGTCTGTCTGTCTGTCTGTCTGTCTGTCTGTCTGTCTGTCTGTCTGCCTGTCTGACCCTCTGTCTGTCTCTGTCTGTCTCTCTCACACACACACACACACACACACACACACACACACACACACACACACACACACACACACACACACACACACACACACACACACACCTTGCAGGCTGAATGCACCACGGGTACAGGCGCAGCAGCAGAATTTCCGTAGCACAAATGCTGTCGGATTATTTAGGGGCAACTATATACATTTTACCGTTGTGTCTTACAGTAGACTAGAATGGCTAGATACATTTTCCCATGTCAATAATTCTCACTCTACACTCTTGCCCATCTGTGTTGCAATAGGCAATCTTCCGTGACCTCCCGCACCCATTCGGACTGACCATATTCAAGTCTAACCTCTACTGGACCGACTGGCAGAGAAGAGCGATCTCAAAGGGCTCCGTGGACCCGGAGAAAAACTCAATGACCCCCACCATTGTCGAATCAAACCTGCGCAGCCTGATGGATATCCAGGTGGTCAGCGTGGACCGACAGCAAGGTAAGATGGAAATCCGTTCGCTTGCCGAATGCCATCCCTGCACTAGTTGAATATGGGCAAGAAGGTGTATGATGTGAAGAGGCGACAATTCTCATTACCGTTCTGCTTGGTTTGTCCACCGCACTTAGAGCAGGTGGAAATGGTGTGTGTAGACGAACGGCATTGGACATGGGGAAGCCCGTGACATCTCAACAGACAAGTGGTCTCCAAGGGCAGGTGCTCACACGCATGCACACGTGGTCTCGTTTGACAGGTGGTCTTTAAAGACAGGTGGTCTTTTTAAAGAAAGGTGGTCTTTCTTCAGAGGTCTGAATGTATGCTCAAGTATGGTCCGGTGTCAAAGATGACTGGCCCCTTGACAGGTGGTCACTACAGACAGGTGATCTCTACAGACAGGTGGCCTGTCATCACAGAGGTCATTGAACATAGGCTTCACAGCACTCTTTATTCCTGTGTGCTGTGTTTACGTCTGTGGCCAGGCACAAATGGCTGTGGCCGGGGACACATGTGTACGGCGGAGCAGCTGTGTCTGCCAATCAACAGTGACGCATACCGATGCGTCTGCCCGGATGACGTCAATCCTCTGGCCTGCGGTAAGGAGTATGTTGTGTGCAGGAGATATGCATGCACCTTAGTACTGCCAGTGCAAGGTCAATGTTACTCTGCTCTATTTGCAGGGGCGTCACAGGGCAATGGGGAGGAGTGGTACGACCGGGGATCGGATAGTTTGCCAACAGGGCGCGTTTCAGCGCTCTTTTATTGCTTTTTTGGATGAATTGGGCGGACCATACTGGACGAAAAGTGGTACGACCATGGCCGTAGTGGTCGTACCGTGTGTGACACCCCTGTTTTCATTACACATACACATATTGGAGCAGGGCATGAATCAAGAAACACTTTCCCAAGGCCCAGAGCCTTTTTCCATTTCATCGTTTAGGTGAAAGATGATATTGTAGAGAAGCGGGGCTAATAAAAAATTGCGACAACGTTCCCCATAGCTCATTAGTTAGCCCAATGCTGGCCTCAAGCGTAGGTCCCTGGTACAAGTCCTGGTGGTGACAGTCAATTTTTCTTCAGATTTTTCCGGTTCGCATCTTTCTCTCTAAGAAGTGAAACTTTTTGAGTGACAATTGTGTGCGTGCATCACCGTGAAACATGTCCTGAAGGACACCTGAGAGACGAGGAGAGCTGGGGAAACGAGTGCACCTTTCAGCAATCCCAAGTACGTTGTCACGACCTCAACTCACACTTTCCAAAACCTCCGGAATGAACACACCCTGAGATGAGGACAGCCGAGTCGATCTCAAAGGTGTGTGCTTTTCTCCCTATCCACAGTATAAGACTGCATACTTATTGCACTGACATGCTGCTTTGTGATTTAGGTGAGGTGGTTGAGGCCCCGATCACCACCAGCAGCAGAATGTCAGTACAGTTGACCTCACCGGGACCCGTTCAGAACTCCGGAGTATCCGGCACAGTGGCACCAGCCACGGTGGGAGAATTGAAGAAAGGTGAGACCGCGAAAAGTGTCGTATTGTGGTGTGTGTTGTTGTTGTTGTTGCTGCTACATGTGCGTGTGTGTGTGAGAGAGAGGGGGGGGGGGGCGGCATTCGAAGTCTGCATAGTGATGGTAATGAATCTGTCGGATCAACACATCCCTGGTATTAGTATATTCTTTACATCACATTGATCATCCTAGTGAACTGTGTGACCAAAGCCATGCGCTGCATGTTCCGTTTCCGATTTCTCCTACTGTGGTCCAGACGAGAAACACTTGCCATTGTTCATTGGAGTTGGTGCCAGCGGTTTCCTGCTCGTCCTGCTCGTGTTCATTCTAGCATTAGCCTGGTACACGTAAGTCACACACTACCAGCTATCAATCTCTTGTGCATGGTGGCTGGCTGGTGAGCCAGTACAGTAGAGTCAAGCGCCCAAGAACGTTGTTTCCAAGTGGCTAGCCTGGGACTGTCTTATTTTTTCAGCAATCTGGCTGCGTTCTTATAACACGTTCTTAGAAACAATCCGTACTGAATCATATGCATCCCACAAGCTCCTATGTATGCAATTGACACGCCTTCACGGCTTCACATACACACGTGTACTTGTTAGTAGTAATGTACTGGAATAGTTGATTATTCGAATTTCCTCGACATCGTCTTGGCCCTGAACATATGTTCAATCAGAAAAAATCTATGTTGAAGGTTCGAAAATTCGACTATAGTTGTTAGAGTGCTGCAGTGTATGTATGTGTAGTAGTAGATCAGGTTACGGGGGGGGGGGGGGGGGGGGGGGTGTCTGCGGGTAGTACAGTTGCTGATGCGCGATGAGCATCGAGCAATGTTGTTTGTGTTCACGACGATATGATCAGGAAACACTTTTACTGCAATTTTTGATGTGATGCTTGAATGTTTGGTTGACCGTGCATTGGACGCACTGTCACACCTATTAGGCCAGTGTACAGTCGACTCCACTTACAACGAACCTCCACTTACAACAAACTCGCATGTAGCGAATTTCGTGATATAGCGAACCATTGTCCTTGTCCCTGTTTGAACCCATACAAAATTGACCCTATATAGCGAACAATTTTCGTTGATAATGAACCAAATCGTGTAGGGTCGCATGTAAACCAAGTGCACTCATACTGTCATGTGCCACTTGCCAGTCATGACTTGCTGCTTATATAGCGCGAGTGCATTTCTGTTATAACAAACTTTGGCTATAAAGAACTAATTATCCTTCACAATGGTGTTTGTTACATCAGGAGTCGACTGGATGTTGCGATTACGGTACTTCTTCTGCATGCGGCTGGTTTGACCTGTCTTCCTAGACCACATGTTCATGGTGTTGGTATGCTCTGTGCTACAGGCGGCAAACACGCAAATCCGATAGGGCAGTAGTGACGGCTCTCACCACCGCGCAGAGCTACAGAAACCCTGCGTTTGTAAGTGTTTGTGTGTGTGCATCTGTGCGTGTGTGTGTGTGTGTGTGTGTGTGTGTGTGTGTGTGTGCATCTGTGCGTGTGTGTGTGTGTGCGTGTGCGCGCGCGCGCGCGCAAGTGTGATAAAACAAACTTTCTCTTTAGAAGAACTAGCATCCGTAACTCTATTGGATGAATCACTGTGTATTCTCTGGGTATACAATTTGGATAAGAAGAATTCCTGTGCTTGCGAACAAATACCATCGGTCCCTTTTAGGGCTGAAACGATCGCAAAATTTTGCATACCGATTACTCGTTTGCTTAACGATCGATCTAACGATTATAACCTTTAACGAGCTGCAATATAATATTATCCAACACGCCGATTTTTCACATTTTTCAAGCACTTTTTCAAACGACCGGATATGGTGGCTGCTATATGTCAAGAGGATCAAGTTTGAAATGCGCGGTGCAGGCAGCAGCTGTGACGGTATAATGGGGCGAAGGGACGAATGGAAGACGTAAAGAGAATTCTGAGAGACTGGCGGTAAGTGACTACAACTTCAAGCAAATCTAGTATACTCACATAGTGTACTATTCAGTGTTCATAATTATACGTGTCACTCAGAGGCATCAGAATCAGAGTCAGTGCTGGTCCCAGATAGCTCTGAATCTGAGCCACTGACAACAAGCTGGCACTCCACGGCAGCCAGGTTAGGCATCGCTGGCATTTCCTCCTCCTCCTCGGCTTGCTCTGGTGCAACTGTGATTTGGTTTTTCGCCAAGAAGATCATAGCGTCAATGGATGATGGTGCCAGGGACGAGCGAAGTTTGTTGACAAGAACGCCACAAGCAGAGAACACACGCTCAGCCGGTACTGATGTAGCTGTGATAGAGAGATACCTCTGAGCCAGGACAGCAAGACCAGGAAACCTGGTGGAATTGCACTTCCACCAATCCAGAGGTTTGATCTCAATGCCCTCCATCCTCTCACTGCAGTACCGTGCTACTTCCTGGGCAGGCGATTCATTCTCCACAGCTGTGGCATCGTACACGGCTCCATGCAGCAGAGCTTGAAGGCCTGTGTCCTCGGGCTTGCGCTTGGCTTGCGGTTCCTGCGCGACAACAGAAGGTGGTTGAGCGGTGTGCTTCTTCATCTCCTCAGCTAGTGCAGCCTTGATAGCATCCGGCTCACACAGGACATGGGACGTGAACTTTAGGCCACGGAACCTGGGATCCAAAGCTGCAGCGAGCACGAGGGGGGATGCCGATGTCACGTCTGACAGACGGAATTTAACCTGCAACTCTGACACAAGTGCAGCACGAATGTTCTCCACAGCACGAACACAGGTGTCCTCCACAGGCTCAGAGTACCTCTCGATAAGACTGGCCACAACAGGCAGCACGAGAGAAGAGGTGACATACTTCTGGCCGCCGAATACTGTTGTAGTTGCTTTCAGTGGTTCCAGGGCTGCTGTCAGCTGCTCGGCTAGTGTCCACTGGGTATCCTTCAAGAGCAAGTTCCGATTTTGGCCTGTGACAGTCAACAAAGTACAAAAACAGGACTTTAACCTGGCAAACCAGATAGAACGAAACAATTCTATTTCAAGCGCAAAGAACAAGTCACGACTCACGATGCAACAGCTCAATCCCACCAAACCCGTCACAGCAATAGCAAAGGTATAGCAACTAGGCATACAAATCATACCATGACACAATGCTGCTTACCTGGAGCAGTCAGTACAGCCATGACGGGCAGTCGTAGCTCAACCAGACGTTTCAGCATGTCATGTGCAGAGTTCCAACGCGTAGGCACATCCTGGGTCAGTTTTACAGGTGATGTGCTCCCCATCTGGACCTGCTTTGCAAGCAAAGCCTCTGTTGCTTGACTGCTATGGCGAAAGTGCCCAACCAACTTCCTGGCAGCACTCAACAATTTCTGTGCAGGAGCTGAATCTTCAAGCACATGTCGCACGCACGTTTGAAGGAGATGGGCAGAACAGGTCACTGACTCCCAGCCATGATCTTGGAGTAGGTGTCGACCAGCAAGCTCCGCATTTCTCGCTTCGTCGTGCACCACTGCAATTACCTGAGCAGGCTTGAGTCCCACTCTCTTCGTTGCATCCGATACCTTTTCCGCGATCCTCACGCCGGTGTGGGAGCCTGGAAAGAGAGCAGTCTCGACAACAGCGCTCTCCAATTCCCAAGTTTCGGTCACGAAGTGCACAGTTACAGTGTTGTACGACTGCGTAGCCTTCGATGTCCAGGCGTCCGTCGTTAGACAGCAGCCAGAGACGGACTTCAATCGACTCGTAAGGGCAGAGAGACCAGTGGTGTGGCGCTGCCCGATCAGCTTGGAGACGTGAGTCCTCGACGGAATCACGTAACCGGGCGATACCCGTCCCATCAGGTCACGGAACCCGACATCGTCGACGATCGACAACGGCCGTAGATCACGAACAAGCCAGTCAGTCAGACTGCCGGTGATTTCTTTGGCAGTCGACGCAGACATTTGCTTTGCCGCGGGCTTCACAGCAACGTGCTGCAGCATCGATGACTGCTTTGCCGACGACTTCTCACCGTCACATCTACCGAAAAGGAGCGGGTGAGCGCGCTTCATATGCTCGCGCATGGCTGTCGTTCCACCAGTGTAGACAAGCTTCTTCTCGCATTGCTTACACTCAACTTTTTTATCTACTGGATCGTTGAAGAACTCCCAAATCGGAGAACGCTTCGTTCTGGACGCCATTCCGAAGTCTTTCCGAAGTCTTTCCAAGATGAAACTACGAAACCACTGCACTCGATAAAATTTGTCGCAAGCATGCATGCAGTGTACGGGTACAACGCGGAGGCCCTCGAGGGCTCCCTAGCACTGGTAGATCTACTGCGTAGAGCTGCTGCCAGTACAAGGCCACCCTACTGCACATACTGACATAGGTCTACGTGCAGGGCTCCCTGGCACCGCGTTGAGGACTACGACGAGTGCAGGGCAACCGTACACATGTACATGCAGTGCTCCCTGGTCCCGCGAAGAGCTCCGCGCGCGAGTATCGGATGCACGAAAAGTGCCTTCAATTTTCTTGATTTTTTACAACAAAATCTTGAAAAATGTTGAGAACGCGCAAAAAATAATCGGTAATCGTTTGCCAAACGATTAATCGTTCTTTTGTTCATTATCGATCGATCATCGAGTATTCGGTATAATCGTTTCAGCCCTAGTCCCTTTGTGTTTGTCCTAAAGAGGTTTGACTGTAGTAGGGTGTGTACAAACCAGGTGTGCCAGTGAACCTACAGTTGAGCTCGCAATTCAAAAATACAACTGCAAACAATAAGAGTAACACAAGGCACACTGTATATTTGTCCTTTAATACCCTGTGCTGATTTGCGGTTTTTAACTTTGCAGGGTTCTGTCTCCAGTGTGGAAAAATCACCAACGGTACGTGTGTGTGTGTGTGTGTGTGTGTGTGCGCGTGTGTGTGTGTTTGCATGCATACACAATGTACATCACTGCTGCAACTCTCTCTCTCTCTCTCTCTGTCGTCTCTCTCTCTCTCTCTCTGTCGTCTCTCTCTCTCTCTCTGTCGTCTCTCTCTCTCTCTCTCTCTCTCTCTCTCTCTCTCTCTCTCTCTCTCTCTCTCTCTGTCTCTCTGTCTCTGTCTGTCTCTCTCTCTCTCTCTGCCTCTCTCTCTCTCTCTCTCTCTCTGTCTCTCTCTCTCTCTGTCTCTCTCTCTCTCTCTGTCTCTCTCTCTCTCTCTGTCTCTCTCTCTCTGCCTCTCTCTCTCTGCCTCTCTCTCTCTGTCTCTCTCTCTGTCTCTCTCTCTGTCTCTCTGTCTCTCTCTCTCTGTCTCTCTCTCTCTCTGTCTCTCTGTCTCTCTCTCTCTCTCTGTCTCTCTCTCTCTCTCTCTCTCTCTCTCTCTCTCTCTCTCTCTCTCTCTCTCTCTCTCTCTCTCTCTCTCTCTCTCTCTCTCTCCTGTCTCTCCCTGTTGTACTTACTTCTCTTCCCCACTGCTTCTCTTACCTCGTGCAACCCACTGGTATACAAGAACGTAGTAGAAATGTGGGCGATTTGTAGTTTTCCAGGGATACATGGTGTGTCCGCTGATTGGGCCCAAGAGAACAAGAAAGAGAATATTCTCATCAACATTGTATTCCTTTACCTGGTGGAAAAATCCATTGCTACACTCCTGCACTAGCTGTTTTAAATCTTCACATTTACGTTGCCATTATTGTCATTATTGTCACCATGACACCATTCTTGTTGTTGCTGTTATTACTGCAGACACCAGTCTCTATCACAATGGACAGGCAGCTCATCCCAGAACATATGTCAGGCTACGAGACAACTCTTTGAAGAGGGTAGCCACACGAATCAGGCGCCGGCGCCAGTCTCTCATTCTGTTCAACGTGCTTCTCCCACCACCATCATTACGTCAGCCACACGCGCGCGCACACACACACACACACACACGCACACACATGCGCGCATGGTGGTACGCATACACGACAGCACGACCAGCACTGATATCCTTCTCTGCATGGAATACGGTATTTCTCGAGTTGATATCTAATTTGTGACTAGTTATATTTTAGACGTCGAGCTAGTGTAATGTCGTCAATAGCAAATTTTGAATGATGTGTACGGAGGGCACGTGTACCCACACACACCCATAATGCTTTGCACATGCCATTCTTAGATATTAAGCAATCGGATAATGAAATTTCCCTGATTTTTGCAACTCGAAACGTGCACGCTTCTCAACTTGACATTTATTTTCCTTCGAATCTTGTATCTCCTCTGCCGATTCTCTAAGCAGACAGAAGTGAATGTATGCAGCTAGAAGAGAAAATGACCGGTTGTTCCCTTTGTGTGTTACTGCAGTATCTGGGTGTCCCAGCCCAAGTTGCAGGCGGGACAAAACACACACTTGCCCTGCACGGCGTTTACATAATAGTCTAGATGCTCCGCAACCCGGAGTGGACGCGAGCAGGTTGTTCTGTAGCGAACAAAGCTATGTTCAACATAGCAACGTGCCCTGGGACTACAGCATTCAACAGGTTGCAAGGCTGATGAATTGACCGCCACTACTTACAGTCACACTGTCTGGTCTACACCACACTGAGCTGATTGAAGTGGCTTTCAACACTACCCTGCATACGTCACCAGTAGCCTGCGGCTGCGGTATTACACATAGGGTAGAGTACAACGCAACGGTATTGCCAACTCAGCGTGCGCGTGCACCTTGCTTCTTATACCACGATGCAATCATGCACCCGGGCAAACACCCGCACATAAAAAAACTTTGTTGAGAAGAGGACTTGAAAAAATACTGAAGCATTAAAAAAATCCACTTTTATGATTTTATCCCAGAGGGATATGCACAGACCACTACCAGCCAGTGAGGGAAAGTAGCAGTAGATGAGAATATCAGGTACAGTCAAATTTCAGTATTAGCTACCCAGGAGATAACATACTTTCTCTTAGCACCGGACATAATGTTGTTTTAGAGGACTGTGCATGCCCTTTCCAGTCATCAGACCCTGGATGTGCAATACCTGGGCTATCAAGTACAGATTTGTATGTCCCCTGGAGGCACATCATACTGTGTGTCCCCTGGAGGCACATCATACTGTGTGTCCCCTGGAGGCACATCATACTGTGTGTCTCCTGGAGGCACATCATACTGAACTCTTTCACTGTAGTCGCATAGCGCATGCACGCGTATTTGCGGCGTTAACTCAAATCCAATTCATCAACGTTTGCGAGAAGCTGCAGTATAGGACGACCATGGAAACATCGACACTCCGTCTCCGGCTGTAAGCTGATGTCGGCCAAGATTTCGGCGACGGCCGTTCGGCTGAGCGAGTCGGGAAGCTTGCGACAAAGCCGCACGACCTCGGACTGCAGTACGGCACAGGACAAGAGAGCGAAGAAACCCAACGCAACACCTGAGTGCTTGTGCGTATGTGTGTATGTGTGTATGTGGGGGGGGGGGGGGGGTAGGGGTGGAGGGTGCGTGGCACAACCATCACCAATACCACACATGTGTAGGCAGTCATCTAGGTGACATGTATATGTATGTACAGTGGAATTCAGTTAGTACATAATCTGATAAGACATACTCTAGCTTAGTATGGACATTGCCCAGAGCACTAGTACTAGGGTCTTATCAAGAGTTCTACTGTAGTTGGCAGATAGCTGCTGTGGAGAATACTGCATGGACGTGCTGTGAAGTAGAGTTACCCACACTGGGGACAGTGCACAGTGCAGTGCTGAACTGTACAGCACAGCACAGAGTAGTACAGTACAGTACAGTACAGTGCAGTGCAGTGCAGTGCAGTGCAGTACAGTACAGTGCAGTGCAGTGCAGTACAGTACAGTCCAGTGCAGTACAGTACAGTACAGTACAGTGCAGTGCAGTACAGTACAGTGCAGTGCAGTACAGTACAGTACAGTACAGTACAGTACAGTACAGTACAGTACAGTGCAGTGCAGTACAGTGCAGTGCAGTGCAGTGCAGTACAGTACAGTACAGTACAGTACAGGCACGGTCTCAACTAGGCTCTGCACAAATTACTTCGCCAGTGTGGTTTGATTTCACAGGACGGTGCAAAAACGACACGCTTGTTCACCAAGCCTTTCGCAACGTACAAACACAGTTTAAAAGCCAGAGGACAGCATGCGCTCTCCTGCCGACCGCGAGTCCAACGTAAAATTTGCAACTTTGTTTCTCGCCCACACTCCACCAGTTGCATACGCCACTGTCACGACAAGAATGGCACGGCAGGGTCTAAACACACGAGTAACGCACATGTGGTAGTGGCTTACCTCCAAATATGTCAGGACTTTGCGTGGACGACATGTGGCCACTGTTACCGACTGTCCATTGGCCTCTCGCTCCACAATGACACCTAACGTTACATGTATTATGATGTAGAGAGAGAGAGAGAGAGAGAGAGAGAGAGAGAGAGAGAGAGAGAGAGAGAGAGAGAGAGAGAGAGAGAGAGAGAGAGAGAGAGAGAGTGAGAGAGAAGGGGGGGGGGGGGCAGAAAGGAAGATAGGAAGAAAAGGAGAAACAGCAAGAGAAGTAATGTGAAGAAATATGCCTACTGTAAAACGGGAAAGTTAAACGAAGAAAATGTTAAACGTTTTTGAAATTTTGGCATGATAACGTGCAGAAAGTTTAACGATGGCTACCTGGCCACCCATCTGTAATCTTTACACAAACATCTCAAACCGGGTTCGCGATAACATTTCTTCAAATAACGAAAAAAATGGTTGTTAAAACGCTTGACTTTGTGACTCGTCAGACTTTCCTGTAACCTGGCCTTTTGCCCTCATACCGAAAATATTGAGCACCTACAATTTCTGAAATTGGAGTATTCGAAAGCAGAAAACCGTGAAGTAATCTGCTGGGACAGTATTCACCAAGGGCATGACATGTACATGTACTTACGCAACAACTCAACAAGATCAGGATATCCGTAGCATGGAATATCTGTTGATACGGCTACTAAGCGAATAGAATCTCCTGCCAACAGACACACGTGATGGACGCAGAATGCAAACAGAATACCCGAAGACCACACAGATACAGACAGACGCGCGTGCACGCATGCGCGTGCACACACACACACACACACACACGCTAGTTAGCACCGCAATCCGCATACCCAGCTGCCTGAAGAGAGCGCAACGCCAACAGGAAGAGCTTGCCCATATGATATAGAGGAGACAGGGTACTACTACTAGTATCCAAGGCCAGAGTGGCAAAATGCTTGTCCTCTAACCCATCCCATGTATGCATCATACTGATAGTATACCGTAGTGTCTTGTAATAAATCCTGTCTTATAGAAGCCTGTTTCGAATACAAGCCTGATTTTTCGATACGCACTGTCAGCACATAAGCCTAGTTTTGGTGTTGACATACATAGAAATACCTGTCTTGTATAGAAGCCTGTCTCAGATACAGACAGACGCGCGTGCACCCCCCCCCCCCCAAAAAAAGTTAAATAGCCACGGCTTTTATACACGACTTTACAGTATGCAAAACAGTGGCGGCAAGCAAAATCGTTTTCACATGTGCAATTGTCGCGTACGCGAGCTTTGTGATTTGTATCTCGATTACTTAGTTATAATTTTACTACTTCCCTTTTTCACTTCGGCTCTACGGGACGTCGTTGGCTTTCCCCAGCTCCGCTTGTGAGGCGCATATGCTATCCTTTTTCGGGCCTTTTTGACTTTTGCTGAGAGAGAAATGCTAATACAGAACCTTGAAAGTATTTACGGCAATGCCGCAGTGATGAGTGTGATTTCGTGTAGAAGCATGTAGCCCTTTAGATGCAACAGTGAACCCAGGGCGCAGAGATGAAATTGTTCTCCACATTTTTGTGCCAAAAACCGGTCCTACGAGCAAATATGGCAGATTCATCGGATGGGCTACAAACCAGGAAACGACGCACGACGAGCCGCTTCAAGACCCCGCTGGCTGGCAAAACTGGAAGTGGACTTAGACAAGGCCATTGGCAATGCAATTTCGGAGACCACGATCACCTCAGCGAGGCAGGTAACTATGGAATTTGGTCAACATTTAGAGGAATCTAATGAGTCCCTAGACACATACATGGAAGCCCTGCTTTCGTTCAATCCTAAGAAGCAGGACGACAAAGATATGAAACAAAGGGAGTTGTCATATCTTGATGACATGGAAGAGGATATCAGAAAATGGAGAAAAAAAATCAGTTACACTCAAGAGCCAAATTCTTCAATTTGATGAAGTGCATGGGAAACGAAGCAAAGCATCTGATGACACATGTGGAACCCACACACGGAACATACTCACGGAACTGGTTGATCTAAATAGAGCAATAATGTTTGGTTCCAGCCAGACTCCCATCAGCTCCACTGGGATTACGTTACCGAAACTCGAGTTGCCAAAATTCAATGGCGATATTCTACAGTGGAACGAATTCTGGGACGTTTTTCAACATTCGGTGGATAAATCAAAAATCTCCAAGGCAGAAGAGATGAGCTACTTGAAAGGTTGTCTAACAGGTAGTGCAAGGGATGTTCTAGCGGGCATGCCACTAGATGATGCAAATTACGATGGCGCGGTTCAATTGTTGAAAGAGCAGTTTGGGAAGCAGAAACATTACAAATCGCTAATGGAAATCCCACCGGCAGAACATAACACCATCACACTAAGAAAACTCCACACACAACTCGAAAGGCATTCGCGATCACTGGAGGCCGTTGGCGAAGATATGAATCAAAACATCTTCTTGTCCATTGTTATGGTAAAGCTGCCGGGAACCGTAATTTTCAACTTGGAAGTCACGCGCGGAAACAATACCTGGAAAGTGTTTCTTTGTCTCAATTCCGACAACTTCACATTGGATTAGCTCTCATCTTGGACAGCGATACGAGTCTGAGCATGGACGTGGAGGAACAACTAGAACAAGGGAGAGTGGACTGTCAGTTTGAAGGGCAGAGTTCGCTACTGCAATGTCGACGACATATTGAGACGAAGTCCAGGCAAGAGAACATTTGAAGTATTAGAAAATCCAGTGAAGCAAGTCTTCGGGGTGAGCTGAAAGGAGCAATGGCGGAGCTGAAAGGAGCAATGGTGGAGCTGAAAGGAGCAATGGCGGAGCTGAAGGGAGCAATGACGGAGCGTCCGGTTCGATGCTACCTTCAGCAGATCGTCGCCAGGCACGCAGAGCAGGTCAGCGTTGCAAGATGGCATTCGACAACTCATTAGCCATGATGCCCTGTAGAAATTAATATTATTATAGACTATAGACTACCATAGTGTAGTTTCATTGAGTGATGTCCGAGTCAATATCCACTACAGGTAGGAGTAGCTGAGAATACGAGTTAGAGTAAAAATAGCTTTCGTGTTCATTGCCTTGAACTGTTCCAGTTAGGCGTTGTCAGTAATTTTCGAAAAATTAAAAAATCCGTCCTCGTACAAAAAGGGGGTGGGTGGTCAAGAGTAGGGCTCAAACGGTTAGTCCGATTAACTGGTTGCAGACCGGTTACGAAGAATTAACGGTTAACCGATAAAGATAACAGTTACGCATTAACTTTTCAGTCAATTGTTTCAAGTATCAGGTCGTTGCAAAGTGTGCACTTTCGCGGGCTGTCGCACGCGTACGCAATTTCTGGGCTGTCAACTCGGTCATATCTGGTCTCTTGGTGTGAGAGTATGTATGAATGAGCATGCAAGAGAATGTACAAGTGTGCGTTGTACTGAATCGGGTACATTTTTTGAATGAGTATAGTCAAATATACGGTTAAAAAAGAGTCCGCAGGATTGCCGTGGCTTATAGGTTATAACCGGTTAACCGACCGTTAGCTTAGCATTTAACCGTCAGGGGTAAAACCGTGACCGTTTGAGCCCTAGTCAAGAGCGCTGGCGGAATTTGATTTTTTGATTTACCGTACACTTATTGCATTGTATTGCATGTGATCGCACTACATGTGTGTTTCAGGATAAGCATACAATCATGTAGGTACCGGCTGACTGGGAAAAATCAAAAAATAATAAATGAAAAATTGGGGGGTGAGGAGTGGGTCAGAGAAAATTTAGCACGAGGACGGATTTCTTAATTCTTCGATAGCGACGGACGACGCCTTAGTTGCAATTTCTTTGGACGACACGAGAGTAAAGGTCTTGACTATGTTGTAGTGAATCGTTTTGCTAGGTGCTTGATGATGACAGTTCATAGGAGTAGCTACATGTATGTGTATTGCTCTGCGTATTGCGTTGAGAATTTAACGCCGATTCCATTGGACCACCAGCTACCCCGTGCTATACGTGTGCCTGCACAATTTTTTCTCTTTTCTACGTTTAACTGAGCATTTCGTTTTGTATAGGTTAAGTAATGTCATATCTCCGGTTGCTAGTTCTCTTTGCTACTGTAAATATACAAAATTTCGGCGCTGCAAAATTTCGGCACTTCACAATTTTTGACATTTCGGCGGCGATTTATTTTCGGCGTGGGTAGAGGGCATAGTATAGTGCGACAGATGCTGTGAAAATTGTCATCGGGGTTTTAATTTAGGCGTTTCGGGTCGGTGCCGAATATAGCCGAAATTAAATAGCTGCCGAAAATTTGTATATTTACAGTATGCGGAGTGTCGCGTACGCGAGCTTCGTGATTTGAATCTCGATTACTTAGTTATAATTTTACTACTTCCCTCGGCTCTACGTGACGTCATTGGCTTTCCCCAGCTCCGCTTGTGAGGCGCACGTGTCATCCTTTTTCAGGGCTTTTTGACTTTTGCTGAGAGAGATACTAAAATAGAACCTTGAAAGTATTCATGGCAATGCCGCAGTGATGAATGTGATTTCGTGTAGAAGCACGTAGCCCTTTAGATGCAAGAGCGAACCCAGGGCGCAGAGGTGAAATTGTTCACCACAGCAATAGGGTGAAAGGCACCGAACAAACGCATTGAGCTTGAACCCACATGCCGGCTGGTTGGTGTGATACAGCCAGGGGAGCGCCATCGAAATACAAAACGGGCTTTCAGGACACAGTTTACACAACAGTGGCACACTCTAGGGGAGGGTGTGTCTCTCAGTTGTACTTTGAACGAGTAAGGCGACGAAGTGAAGAAAAAAAAGTAGCAATGCCTTCAGATGAAACCGAGATAGGGAGATATTAGAGGCAACAACTTGCCAACAAGAAGGTGAAGATCACAAGCAACAGACCTAAAATTCACTCAGAGAGCCAGCAATACAGAAGATAAACCTACCGTTACTATCCTGGACCAGCCTGAAGCCATTCTTCACGAGAAGAGGATCATCAAACTCGCTGTAAACACAATAAGCATACAAAAAACACCAAACACACAGCTCTGAACTCAGACTTGTGCATGTACATGTATCAGTGTGCAAATCAAGAAAAGTCTATACAACTCCGGCAACAATGCATTGCCAGTTGAAAAAAAAGAAAAAAGAAAAAGAGCGTGCTCCCAGCAGGGCTCGAACCTGCGACATTCGCGTTATTAGCACGACGCTCTAACCGACTGAGCTATGGGAGCTCATGCATACCGAAGCTAGAAAAACAACTCTAGCAAGTCAAAACAAATCTATCGACCATTGTATTCCCAGAGCGCCGGGTCTCGCAAGAGTGCATCACCTTGATTTTATACCCAAAGAAAGGGATTGTGGTGTATTGGAACTCATGTGAAATCTACACCCTGATCGTTTTTGTTAAATATTATACTCGTATGATCGATGAGTCGTATCTTCTTTTAAAGTAGCAATA